AGTAAAACGTTTAAATATAAAAAACAACTTAAACTCCACCAGCAAATGCATTTGAAAGACCGACCATACCTTTGTACTAAATGTGGAAAGGGTTTTGCAGATAAATATGGTTTGAAAAGTCATGCTCTTTCCCATTCAGGTATGTTTTTTTATGTGTTTTTTTTTGTGTTTATACATTGTATAAATTGTAGAGGAAAAGCCGTACATATGTAACTTCTGTGAATCCAGCTTTAAAACACAAGGCGCTTTAAATGTACATGTCAGGGTGCACACTGGGGAAAAGCCCTATTCTTGCAAGGAATGTGGGAAAGAATTTAGACAAGCAGCGAATTTAATTCAACATGAACGAACTCATACAGGGGAGAAACCTTATGAGTGTGAAGTGTGTAAAAAAAGGTAAGTACCTATTTTGTCAGTTTATAATATATTAGGTTTATCCTGCATCCCAAGTGCTTAATATTGTCAAAAAACTAATATTTTATTTTTCTAGCAGTTATGTTTATGTAAAACAGCATCAAATGTATTTTTTTTTTTCAATAAATTAATTGTCCTTTTTACTGATGTGACTCCGAGAACGTTTATGCAAAATTTTGTACTTCTAGACTAGGTAGTAATTAATTTTTTTACAAACTCTTATCCCCATTTCACTCATTATGAGAATGAATGTACAGAAATTACTTTGTTGCTCTATTTATCATTTAAAAGAACTTTTGTACAATTTTTTATGCTTCTAAAGCTAGCGGTGATACAAGTTTTCATACAAAGTTTTACACAATGTTTCATACAAACATCTAAAGTTACAAATTTTCACCCCAAGTTTTATGCAAACTTTCACGTGAAGTTTCTTTAAACATTCACACGAAGTTTCATACAAACTTTCTCTCATTTCATACACACACACGAAGTTTTCACCCGAAGTTTCATATACTTTCACACGAAGTTTTTACTCAAAGTTTTTTAAAACTTTCATACAAAGTTTCATACACACTTTCACCCAAGGTTTGATTAACACTTTCATACGAAGTTTTCAACCAAAGTTTTATGGAAACTTTCACCTGAAGTTTCTTTAAAATTTCACACGTAGTTTTATACAAACTTTCTCTCGTTTCATACACACTTACACACGAAATTTTCACCCAAAGTTTCTTACAAATCTTCACACAAAGTTTCATACAGACTACCGAAATTTCGTACAAAGTTTCACACGAAGTTTCATACACTTTCACACGAAGTTTTCACTCAAAGTTTTATTAAACTTTCATCCGAAGTTTCATTACTCACTTTCACACGAAGTTTGATTAATACTTTCATACAAAGTTTTCATCCGAAGTTTTATGCAAACATTCACCCGATGTTTCATACACACGCTAACCCATTGATTTTCGTATATAGATTCCGTTTATTTGTATTTTTATTTTCTTCCAGATTTAACCATAGTGGTAAATTAAAAATTCATTTTCGTACACATAGTGGTGAAAAGCCTTATGTCTGTCCACACTGTAAAAGGTGTTTTGCTGTTAGGGATACACTTAAAAAACACATTTGGACCCATACAGGACAACGCCCTTACAAATATAAGGTAAATTCTTCTTAATAACTCTATCTGGATCACTAATTATTTGATTTTCCAGAAAACAAAGAGCGCAAAAGAAGTTTTGCCGAGATTCCCTTGTGAGATATGCAATAAAATGTTCAAGTTCAAAGCAAACCTAATATCTCATCAAAGAACCCATACTAAAGAGAAGCCTTTTTTGTGCAGTACTTGTGGAAAGGCTTTTGGCGAAAAGCATGGCTTAAAAGTTCATTTAAACATTCACACAGGTATTATTAAAAAACATTTACCCTCGTTTTGTTAACATTTTCTTTTAAGGTGAGAAACCATTCTCATGCACAGTGTGCGATAGCAAATTTTCAGCGCCTACAGCTTTAAGGATACACATGCGAAGACACACAGGAGTTAAACCTTATCAGTGTGATATGTGTGAAAAGGCTTTCTTCCAGGCCAGTAATTTGATAAGTCACAAAAGGTCGCATACAGGGGAAAAACCGTATGTGTGCAGCCTTTGTGCTAAAAGGTAAGTTGAATAAAAATAATTAGAGTTTAACATTGTTTAACTAATTTCATACACTCACCCAAAGTTTCGTAAGTTTCATACACATTTTCACACGAAGTTTCATACACTTTCACACAAAGTTTTCCAAGTTTCATATACACTCTCACTCAAGGTTTCATACACTCTTTCACACGAAGTTTTATATACATACTTTTTTTTCACACGAAGATTCATACTCTTTCACACGAAGTTTCTTACTTTCCCACCCGAAGTTTTGGGCACATGCTTTTTTTCACACGAAGTTTCATACACTTTCACCTGATGTATAAGTTTCGTACACACTTTCACACGAAGTTTCGTACTCACCCGAAGCTTTCCAAGTTTCATACACTCTTTCACACGAAGTTTCTTACAATTTCACACGAAGTTTCATACACTTTCACCTGAAGTTTCATAAGTTTCATACACACTTTCACCCGCAGTTTCATACAAACTTTTCTTCAGAAATCATACAAACTTTTACCGAAGTTGCATACAATTTTTATTGTGCATTCGTATGAGGGGTACCCTGTATATGCAGCTCTTTAAGTACCGCCGTGTATATTGTATTTTTGCAGATTCTCTGCCAGTAATAAGTTAAAAATACACATGAGGATGCACAGCGGCGAAAAACCGTACCGTTGTACGCAGTGCGGCGAAAGTTTTGCCAGAAAAGACGTTTTAACCACTCACATGAGACGCCATACCGGGGAAAAACCGTACACTTGCAAGATATGCCACCAGTCATACTCGCAAAGCGGTACCCTGTATACTCACATGAAGACGCAACATAAACAGAAGACAGAACCGCCATCTATGGAGTTTTAATAGTATGTATATAGAGTGTAACCATAAAAAAACTATAGGAGAACTTTGATGTACTTGTTTAAATTCGAGTTTCAAGAAAAATGAACAGTTGAAAATAAGAATTTCGTGGCATTTTTTTATTTGTCAAATCACCTATGATCGAAAAAAATGGTGTCACAGTAGCTTTTGAATGACAAATTCCGGATTTTGTCGGAACGTTTTTGTCGGAAAGTACATTTAAAGAACTAAAAACTATTTCAAAGGCTACTGTAACACCGTTTTTTCTGTTGTATAGTACAGTTCCTTAAACAATTGATAACTGAAAAATATGGTGAAGTTCAATTAAAAATACGACTTCGTTTAAAGTTTATTTATATTTATACTTATTTTAACTGATAAAAAATAGTATACATTAAAATAATTAAGAAAATACTCGGTATGTATTTTTTTATATATATATATTATATATATATATATATATATATATATATATATATATATATATATATATATATATATATATATATATATATATATATATATATATATATATATATATATATATATATATATATATATATATTTTAATTTCTGGATCTTAATTATAATTAAGTCTAATAAATGAAATGTAGATTATTTATAGAATTTTTTATTGTATTAAATTGTGTGATAAATGAGTAGCTAGTATATTTATCTCTCAGTTGGTTTACGTTTTTTTATATACGTAGTATAAATACCATATCTGATTTTACCATAATAATAATAGGTAGAAATTATACCATGTAGTAGAGTATTTTTCTTAGTATATACATTTCTGGACCTTTTTAGAAAAAAAACAGCGTCGCAGTAACCTTACAAATGACATTGTGATAATTCTGTCAAAAATTAAGTTGAAATACATTAGAGTCGATTCGACGGAAATTATCATCGATTGTCACTTCAAAGGTCACTGTGCCTTTTTTCGATAGTAGTAACTCTCCACACCAATTCTTTTAAGAATTTTTGCGTTAGATTTAATAATATAGGACGTCATGAAAATGAAACGAAATTATATTTACTTATATTTATTATTTTGTCACAATTTATTTAAAATAATTTTAAACCAGAACGTTTATCTTATATACATTATTCATCGCTACCGCTTTCTTCATCATCCGATTCCTGTAGCGCCCTGGTTTTGTCTGATTTCCTTGCTCTTCTGCTCTCTACATCAGAACCTTCTTCATCTGAAGAATATATCGCACCTCCTAATTAAAATAAAGCACACAAAATAACATTTTAATTAATATAAAATACCCTATAACTTTATAGGGTTCATATAAGTGCGTTCACACCGGCTGCGCCGCGCAAATCATTTTTTAACATATACTGTGCGAGCTAAAAAATACACTTCAAAAGTACATGTTAAAAAAATGTTTTGCGCAGCCGGTGTGAACGCACCTTATGGTATTCTCACTGTGTTAGTTCATACCTTTGGGTGCGTTTGCTCCTGGTTTGTACTTGTTTTTAATCGCGTTCAGCGATATAGCGCCTTCGTCGTCACTGCCTTCCTCTTCCCTGTATGATTCTCTAACAGCATGAGCTCTAGCACCTGAGTCACTCTTCTTACGCTGAGTTGTTTTGGGTTTAGCAGTCTGTCTCAGCTTCTCCTCTTCTTTCTACATTAAATTTTTGTTAAAACATCACTGCATTTTTAAGAAAATATGAATATCCATTGAATAGAAAAAAAAACTAAAAAAGATTATTAACAAAATAGAAGAGTCAAAAACAAAATTGATGACAGTCTAGTCTTTTTATATAAATTTAAGCAAAGTATTATATACTATTATTATTTAGTATCACTTTTAGATTGAACAATATTATATTCTATCCCACCACAGATTTATTATTACCTTCAGTCTGATAGCACGGTCGTTGTCAGGATCGACGCCTACTTGCGACAAAATCTTGATGCCTGACGTTTTCTGAGATCTGTCAGCCAATGAAAGTGTCATTTTTCTGTGCGTGAAACTCTCGGTCGAATGAGGCCTGAAGCTGAGTTTCGTTCGAAACACCGCCTGACCTTGAAGACCGGTTCCTTGACGAATGAACAGGTGGTTATGATCGCCCTATACGAAGTGAGGTTACGTTAAATGCCCGTCTATATATCATAGAAACAAGTAAACTTAGAGAGGAGTTCTAAAATAATAGTTAAAATCAAATAATGGGAGACAAAACTATTTACATTTTATCGCGATCAAACATCGTTTTCAACAAAAATCGATGATGCCAAATTTCTGCCGATTGCGTTAGATCTACGGCTTGTGTTTAAAAACAAAATAATATGTTAATATTGTTTTAATGGTTTGTGTTTAATGGTTAACGTACTAAATATACCGATTTTGGTCATTTTAGAAGTGTGGTCTGGATTTTAACGTGTAAGACAGTTTATGGACAGGACAGCTTTATAGAAAATCAAATGTATTAGAAAGAGATAAAAGTTGGATTAATACATTTCTTCTATGCGGTATTACCGGATTTTGCATCAAAAGTTCAAACCGCACAAGTAGGCGTTTATGGAAAATGTTGCATCTAGGGTTGGAACCTTATTTTTCACAATTAGTTACTCATTTTATTACAGATGTAATAGATTACATTTAGCTTAGATATATTATCTTCATTTCAGTAGTATACACGAAAGTTTTTAAAATAGTTTATTTTTTTCCTAACAAAAACTTTCCTACAAACGTAAAAACCGGCAACACTGTATGCCGCTTTTGATTTTCTCTCTCTATCTGTCAACTGGTGATTTATATTATTCTCTGTCTTACACGGTAAAATCCAGACCACACTTCTAAAATGACCAAATCGGTATATAGGTATATAATTTTAGTTAAAATTTAGATATACCTTTAAAATTAATAGTTTTAGTTTTTTAGTTAAGCTGTTAAGTAATTTTGTTTAGGTACGTTTACAGTTCATTGGTGGTTTTCATCTCATTTTAATATTATTGAGGTTCCAATTCAGTACAAGCCAATGACAATGTTAGTTATATTTTAGTACACCTCTACGTTTACTTATTTCTCTCAGACGTATATCATGGTTTTTACTTGCAAAGGCTGCCTGTAAACGTCGAAAATCTCAGAACCCAGATGTAAACTATATGAACCATCCGACCATCTCACTATCCTAGCGTTAGACTCCTTTTTAACGTTCCCTTCGTCATCAAGAACGTCACGCCATCTTATCGTGTTCTCCACCTTCAATTTTAACCTTGCCCTACCTTTAAGTCAAGATATTTATTAACTTAACCTCAAAAAAAATCGTCTATTTGTATTACCTTCTTCGTCCAAGGTTTCTTCTTCGTCGATTTCATCTTCATAGGTCTCTGGATCGAAAGGTCTGGTTTCTACTGACAAGAAATTAGGAAGTTTTACAAAATTGATGTCCCTGCCTAAATCGCAAGTGATTTTGGGCACTTCCACGTCGATTCTTGTTTCGGGAATTGGTTCTGGTTCGTTTTCTTTATCTTCTTCCTAAATTATTAATTTGAATAGGTTCCAAGCTATTGGAATAAGTAGGTACAAATTAAGATCATACCTCATTACCAACGCGTTTATCTTCTTCGTCCCCAGACCGTCTCTCAGCACTTCTACTGCGACTTCTACTCTTCGATTTACTCCTTGATCTGCTCCTACTCCTACTCCTCGCACCTTCTTTGTCCGATGCTTCTTTATTTTTTTCCACGTCGCTGTCATCGCTGATATCGTCAGCATCGTCCCCAAAAATCGCCGCTGCACTTAGTCCTGGTCAAAAATAAAAAATTAATCACTTTTATTAAACAGACTCTGGCATAAGTGCAAGTACTTTAAATGATAGTGTAGCCCAACCCCAGAAACATGGCAATGGGTTATTAAAAAAAATACTTTTTTGGCGGAATTTCAAAAAACTTTTCAGTGCTACAGGTTCGTTCTCCTTAAACTTCTTGACAGTGTTATTGATGCTCTGCAACGTTGCCACCTCCAACGTTATGCGAAGTGTATATATATTTGTATGTTTATAACGTTTTGTGGATTTTTATTAATAATAATAGTGAAAAAAATCTGTATACTAATAATTTTACTAATCTGTGTACTGATAATTTTACTAAACCCCACAAAACTCAAAGTATTTTCAACTAAATTGGAATAATAAATATTAACAAACAATTATTAGTGTTTATCTTAAAGAACTTTCAATTTTAGAAAACACTGTTAAAAAAATGTCAATAACTGGTCCATTCGCCAAGACCACAGATCAAATAAGTTAAATGCTAGTGATTCTCAAAATGTAACCAATTTGAATATTTCAAGTTCAATAACTCAGCTATTTTTAATCTATTTTAAAAATGACAAATAGAAAATATGTTTATTTTGTCCAGATCTACTACCCTCTAAGATACTTATTGGGTTTATTTAAGAAACACCCTGTATAAATAATTTTTTTTATCACCTTTCTCATTTTCTTCTTCTGGTTCACTGTCAGTATCTATCACTCTTGATTTTTTCTTGCTATCTTTTTCTTCTGAACTATCCCTCTGTCTTTTAGAACTACTTTTATCGCTTTTTGGAGACCCCTGTTCATCAATTTCCAAGTTTGGGCTAGTTGATCTTGATCTGCAACAACAACATAATTATGAGTTCCACTAAAATATGAATTAGAACGCATTTTATACCTGGATTTAGATCTATGCGATCCTGCACTATTACTTCTTCTGGATCCTGCAGATTTAGATCTATGTGACCCTGCACTATTACTTCTTCTGGACCCTGCAGATCTTGACCTGGATCTTTTAGATTCATTTGATCCTGACCTCCTTGACTCTTTTGATCCAGATCTTCTGGAATGTGCCGATCCGGATCTTCTTGAAGCAGCTAATCCAGACCTCTTAGATTCATTTGAACCTGACCTTCTAGAAGCATTTGACCCAGATCTGGCAGAAGCTTGGGATCCTGATCTTCTAGAAATATGTGACCCAGATCTTCGGGACACGTGTGAACCAGACCTTCTCGAAGTATGTGATCCAGATCTTCTAGAATGAGGTGAACCAGAATGCCTAGAATGTTCAGATTTTTTTGAACTGGCAGAGCCTGATCTTTTAGATGCTGCTGAGCCTGATCTTTTAGATGTTGCTGAGCCTGATCTTTTAGATGTTGCTGAACCTGATCTTTTAGATGTTGCTGAGCCTGATCTTGACCTCTGTGACACAGACCTAGCTGAGTCCCTGGAGTGTGACCTTGAACGATCCCCCGATCCAGACCTTTGTGAACGGGGACTATGATTACCAGACTTTTGGGAGTCTTGTGACTTAGATCTGTGTGATTCCGCAGAGCCTGATCTCTTTGAGACTGGCGTTTCCCAAGGTGATAGAGATCTATGAATTTAAAATTGAACAAAATCTAACGTTGTGATTATAAACCATCTCACCTAGATTTTTTGGAATCCGCTGATCCAGACCTCTTAGATGCAGCTGATCTGTGTGACCCGGAAGGGCTTTGTGATCTTTGGGATCTAGACCTAGCTGAACCTGCACTACCTGAAGGCGATCTTGAGCCACTTCCAGAGCGACCAGACTGTCTGCTACCTGGACGTGAAGAGCTTTCTGCTTGCGAAACGTTACCATTAGATCGGTTCTCTACACCGCCGGGACTTTCATTTGGATTTGGTGAACGACTTCTGTTGGACTCGCTATCAGAACCGCTGTCGGACGACATTATGAAGAGTAACCAACTGAAATATCACTAATTTATCTTCAAATATTAAAAATTAAACCATAAAAACTATATTTTCCGTTGTCTTGGAATGTAAACTAACAGAGATAACCTCAAAAATATTTGACATATCGTCTTCTTTTTTTTTCAATGGCAGTTGAGTACCAAAGGAACGAAGTAGAAAATGTAGCAACACTATGTTTAAGAAAATAAATTTTTAAAAGAAGAAGAGAATGACAACTTTTGACGTTTATTAAAAAAATATTTTTAATAATTTTATTTAATATTTTTTTTGTTATTAACAAAGTACTGGCACTAAAAATGTTTTTACAATGACCATTCTATTGTTCAGGAAATAGCTATTAAATGGATCTATATTCTGGACACATCCGCTGCTATATTTTCTACGATTATTAGCAATAAAATTATTAAGACGTCAAAGCATAATACTCAGAATGTGGGTAGTAGATAAATAATTACTAATCCACGTTATCATTATCAAACGATAACATTTTTAATGATTATGTTAAACAAGGAAATTATTGATATTGTATTATTTTTACTTTTATTTTTGGTAAATGTTGGCTGCACCAATGAGTACTGATTCTAGGGTAACATTTTCCACTTTTATTAATGTACCATTACTAGTTAACAGATTTTTTAGGACGACAATGCTGGAACATTTAATAGACAAGGTTCATTAAGAAGAGTGATACCACCTCCGGAAATAAATTCAGGAAACTTATTCGGCCGGCAAAATGAAGATCTTAATAGGATTTTTAAAATATATAGACAAGAGTACATTATCTTAGCAGAATAGTAAGGAACTATATTGCATTAATTAATGTACTGTAAATGATATTTTAAAATATTTTAGTAAAATTATTGAGACTGAAGATATTCAAGGTGTATATGTTATTCCGTCCAGGGAAAATAGTCTTAGTAGGTATTAATTGTACTCCTTTAAACTGTTTAAACATATATGTTTATATTTTTAGTATGGTTTGGTATTATTTTTGTTAGAAATGGTCCATATAAGGATGGCATATTTCGATTTACAGTTATATTAGATGAAAAATTTCCTGATTGTGAACATCCTGTAAAAAACACAACACAAAAACTAAAGTATCAACATTAATTTTACATTTTTTTTTAGAAAATAGTCTTTCAAACTAAAGTAATCCATCCTGTGATAGATCCAGGTACAAATGAAATGAATTTGCTTGGTGGATTTCCAACTTGGAGTAAAAACGAACAACATCTATGGCAAGTCTTGAAGTATATTCAGTGGGTATTTGCAAATATTGAGGCTAGTATACCTCACAGCATTAATAAGGAGGCCTGTGATATGTAAGTACCATTAAAAATTTGTAAAAAAAATAGGTAAAATATATTTTTTAACTTGAATAATTTGCAGGATTACAAAGGACAAAGAGGCATTTGGTAATAAAGCACAAGAACTTGTTAAAGAAAGTAAGGAACACTTATATGACACACCAAGCACAGAAGATAAACACTACATTGTATTTGAGAAGTTTAACCCGGATATTCACAAAAAGGAAAAAATGTTTGCTTTTATTCAAGAAAAAGATCAAATAGAAAAAAGGGGCTATTCTTGGGTGTTACCGCACAGTTTTAAACCCTTGGAAAGACCTTTAACACCTACATCTGATAATGAACTGAAAAAAGATACGTAAATACGCATATTAAATCTCGGATTGTTTTTTATAAATCTCTCGATAAATTTTTAGCTATAACAGTATTGGTTTTGTGTATTAAGGCAATAATTTTACATGACAAGAATTTTTTGACTAGCTTTTTAACATTTTAAAAAATCAAAAAAAACTAGCATAATAGATCACTTCCATGGATATTTTTCACTTAGCGTTAAAAAATGTTGACATTATGTATATATTACTTTGTTAATTGTATTTACAGTGCAATATAAGTCGAACAAATTTACATTTTAATATATCATGTTAAATATATTTGAATAAAGAGCTTTTATTAAAATAAAGTCATTTTTTAGCTTCATAATACCAGTCATTCTGCAATTCGTACGTTGTTCCTCGAAAAGTAAAATGAGTAGGAGGTTGATCTTCACCATTCATAAATTTAAACTGATTACTGAACTCTATAGCTAATTTTGATCTAATTAAACCTACAGAACCAGCTTTTTCATGAGCTGGATGATAGACTCTACCTGTCGCCGGTAACATAATAACTCTTTCCGGTTCGAATGTTCGTTTTAATAGCTCTCCTGCATGGTTATGCGCTAGATAATATTCGTTATCAACCTCTAAAACGTGTGTGAAAACGATAGGATAGTCATCACATCGAACAAAATTTCGTTCTCTGCCACAAGGCGAAATGTATGGAAATTCAGGATATCGGTTTGTTTTATTAACTTTCAGCTGGCTAAAAAAGAACCTCAGGAATTTCTTCTCTTTAAAACACGAAGTGAAGTTCTTCATGGGTGCATCGTCTAAAAAGAGCTAAGCAATAAAGGGATGTTAGTGGTTTTCTTTAAAAAAGTTTGTTACCATTCCTTGATGATCTATATAATAAAAATATTCTCGCACTTTGGGCTCCGGTGTTTGGCCCTGAATATACGACACAGTTCGATATACATCTTTTCCTTTTTGTATAAACTGGCTTAATTTGTTGTTCCTCAAGAGAATCATTTTATTTGCATAGTTTTTTCTGGTTTTTGCTTATATTGACCTTTAAACTATACACTGAATTAAATATATAATAAACTTATATTAATACTGTTTTACATATTTAAACAAATTAATATCAGAAATTGAGGCATAAAGAGGAGAAACATTAGAAATTATAAGAGAAAAATTAAAATATATTTTTTAAATTTAATTTTTGATCAATTTAACTTTTGATCATATAAAAGATTTTACGACTACAGCTGCTAGGGCTATCCGACCTTTTGGTACTAAATAAAAATATAATTCTTCTTCTTTTTCTGTTATATGGCCACATGTCCTTAGAGTATTTAGCCAGCAAAATAATATATGATTGGCCTAGTTAGGGTGTGAAAAGCCTATAATAATAAAAAGAAGAAAGAAATTTATTTGAGGTTAGCATTTCGATTTTGAATTTTTATTAATTTCCTGTAAACAAATAAGTTTTATATTACTAAAACTAAAAACTCTTTAGAAACATAAAAAATACTCCATAATCATGGCAGATGAAGAGTACGATGATAACGACGTCGGCGACGACTTTGAAGACGATGTGGAAGACGAAAACATTGAAGAATTAGAACAACCAGAGGAAGAAGGAGATAATATCGATATTTTACAGCCAGGTTCCTTATTTTTAGTCAATTTTATATTACCATCACTAAGACAAAACCTTTACAGGTCAAGCTGGAGGCGGTGTTCCAAAAAATAAGCGTATAACCACCAAGTACATGACAAAATACGAAAGAGCCCGAGTTCTAGGCACGAGAGCCCTGCAGATCGCTATGTGCGCCCCTGTAATGGTCGAATTAGACGGCGAAACGGATCCTCTACAAATAGCAATGAAAGAATTGAAACAACGTAAAATACCTATAATTATTAGGAGATATTTACCAGATCATTCTTATGAGGATTGGGGTATTGATGAACTTATTATTATTGATCATTGAAAGGGATGGAAATTATTGTATATGAGTAATTACAGTTAATTTACAAGTAATTTTAAGTAAATGTGCTTTTGTATGAGTTAATATGTGTTTTTATAGATACCTGAATAGAGAATTAAGATTTTCCTTCTTGAAATGTATTAAGTTCCTTATAAAGGGGATGATGGGCAGATAAGGAAGATTGGTGTCCTAGAAAAATAGTCTTTTACATGTAAAATATGTAGTTATCTCCAAGGTACTTTTTTATCTTTTATTAGTACCTAGTTTCTCTAAAAATACTGAAATGACCCAAAAGCTTAATTTTATTTAATTTTGTTACATCGTTTTTATGTAAATAATTTATGTAATATACGAATGAAGAAAATATAATTGTTTTATTAAAAGAAACTTACACAGTATTAAATTTACAAATAAAGTTTAGACTCTACTGAAGTGTAATAATTAAAATGTGCATCTCCAAGATATCCTTCATATCATATATCTACACAGATCCCAATGGTCGAATTTAGGACACCAGGAACCTAATCTAGACACATTACAATTACAATCAAAATTTTAGTGTCTCATTTAACTTTTACCGTAAATTAAATAAAAAACATGCATTTCAAACCCGTTCAAGTATTCACCGCATCAAACACAGCAACAGCTATCATCAAATTCCTCCTCGTAAAATGCAAGTTAATCAACGGCGAATTCTTCGTCTGAAAAGTCCTCAACAAATAATCCTCCCCAATTTTCACCTCCGGATTGTGCGATATATTCACATCGTCCGAGTTCGTGTCCTCCGTAAACTTGTTGAAATTCCACAGCTTCACCGAACAGTCCAACCCTCCAGATACGAGAATATTGCCGCAGCGGCTGAAAGCCAAGCAATGGATGGTTTTCTCGTGGCCGCTGAACTCAGCGATGAGGTGACCGTGGGACAGGTCCCAGATGAGCACCCGACAGTCGGTCCCGGCGGACGCCACATAGCGGCCGCACACGCTGAAGGCTAGCGCGTGAATGGGCTGCTTGTGGCCGGTCATCAGACGGACGTGGTTGCCGGTTGTCACGTCCCACAGGCACACGCGTCTGTCGCTCGAGCCCGTGGCTATGTAGTTGGAGTTTGGATGGAATTGGATGCACTGCAATATAAAAAAATACAGTTTTGACACAGAACTTGACTGCTGACATTTTCATATGACATATGAATTTTTGACATATTAGGCACCTGTCTATACAAGTGTGATTTGATTACTTTGATTTCAATCACAGATATATAACAGAGCTAATGTTTCAATCAGTTTCCTCGATTATCTGTTTTTCTTTAATTTTAATAAGAATTTGATTGCTTTGAATGGTAGCGGCTAAACGCTTTTCGAGACAATTGCCTAACTTAAAGGGTATGCGCATGACTAGCAAATAGCAGCAGCCAAGTTAATCTCTTGTGTGAATTTATAAGTGAACCTATGTCAGATAGATATAACGTTATGTGTAGACAGAGCTTAATACTTACGTCAACATCGGAAAAATGTCCGGCAAATATTTTCACCGGCTGATAATGGTCCGTAACCCATAGACGTGCAGTCCTGTCGTACGAACACGACGCAAAGTAATAGCCTAAAGGCGAAAATTTCACGTCCCAAACCGGGAACATGTGGCCCTTGTAAACGACCAAACACGCCCATATCTGGAGGCTCCATAATCGAATGGTCGCGTCCTCCGAACAGCTTAATAAAAGCGTTCGATCGGGTGAAAAAGACACGGAGTATACGGGGCCTCCGTGTCCGCACAGGCTCCTTGCTGTTTCGCCTGATCTTTCGTCCATCATTCTTACCTAATAAAAAAAAATCTTAAGCATTACATTCGATGAATAAAATTAAGAAAAGAATTTGTTTTAAGCAGTGTATAAATCTGGAAAAACCTTCTAGGATGAGATTATAGTGAATCTAAAACAATGACATCGAAAATCGTTCCTTGTGCAGCATGTGATTGTTTCTAGACTATGGAGCGTAGAGATGAGGAGAAATATTCTTTATGGAACTTTATTTGAAAAAGTGGTCAAAAAAATGGGAAGAATAAGGGTTCACCAAATAACCACAGTGGCGCTAATGACGCATAAATCTAAAAAATGAAAAGTAACCATAGATAAGAGAATAAAAGTAACATAACCAAACATTACTCAAAAAAGCTTTGTTTGTATTTTTTAGACTATAAAACAATTATTTTTTTATATTAGAGTCCCAGTCTATTGCTGCTGCATAAAAAATCGATAATTTATTTCATGTGACATGAAAATAAAAAAAAAGAAAGAGATTTTTGAACAAGAAATCATTTCCTGTTCTAAAAATTTTCGGCGCATATTTTAAATTTTAGGTTTTTGCTACAGCAGCGCTATCTTAAGTCTTCCCTTTTTTATGACCATTTTTGAATGCACGACAATATTTCTCCTTACCTCTACACTCCATATTCCAGACAAAAATAATCATCAAAATGATGGAATAACTATTCACTAGTAAGGATAAGGGGTAGTCCATTAGTGGTTATGTCCCTCACTGGTGAAATTTGTCTACATAATTGATGGAGGCCTCCTAAGTAATTACATATATGTTATGAGTTATTATATTTTTAATGTTGTATTTACTCTTTTATTTACTACTTGTCAAAAATACAGAAGAAAATATTGAAACTCACCAAAACGTCATCTGCTTCAAAATTGACGTCTAATAACTGTTCTGCTGTTTTCATGGCCTTCAACTTCTGAGGAACGAGGGTGAATACTTTAATCACAGAATCGTTGAATCCCACAGCCAACATGCTCGAATCCTCGGTAATTTCCGCACAACAAACCCTAAAATAATAAATTCCCTCGAATATCTCTAATATTGCTAATTAAATTTTTGGCGATTTTTGAAGTACTATTAAAAGCTAGAACTTAAACAGAGATACATACGTGTAATTTGAGTTAAGCAATGTATAGCAACAACAAGATGGAAGACAATCTGGTCCTAAATTTATCCTCTTGGATGCTTCTCTTAAGGCTTTCAGCTTCTCAACTTTATCATTGTCCTTTCTGCAATTAAAAAAATTGATAAAACAACCAAACACCCCAATCTAATAAAAAGAAACCTACAAATCTGGTACAGGAATTCTATCAGCCGGAGGGGCGTTAGGATCAGACTTGGTCTTTTTTGATAACAGGGGATCCTTCTTTGATTTCTTCTTTTTTGGCTTATCTGGATTATCCTGATCATTTGTCTCCTCTTCGTCTTCAACAGGTGCTGTTAATATTTGTATATCTGGTGCTTTAGGTATACCATAATACACTTTTGTTTTATTATCTGAAATATTACATAATTATATAAATCATAGAAAATATATGTATGATTAATTATTAGTTACCTTGTCTTCTTGCTTCTCCACCTACAGCTCCAGAAGTAGCATCAATTTGAGACTTATTTCTAGCAACACCTTCGTACATATCAAAATACAAGTGCTCCTGCACAATATTCAGAAGTACTGAGGCTTTTTTATCATGCAGATGTCTCTTTAATAATGAATATGTATCCCTGGACATTCTCAGTATAAACTGGTTCGATTTAAAAGTATCAGTCAGTTCGTTGCCATTCATATGATCACGTTTAGTAACCATAGCCAGTCTTCTAAGATCATCCTGATAGTATACATCTTGTTCAGGTCCAAACTTCATCATTAATGAAATAGCTTTATCCGTATGGCCGTTGTAGACTAATTCTAAATACATATGGACTAAAACAGGGTATAAAATCATGCCCAGTTCATGCTTGTAAATATCTAGAGAGTTTTCAACAAAACGCTTTAGTTCTAAATACGATGTTTCGTAAGCTTCCGGGTCTCCGTCACTTTTATATCCGGTCAGAACGTTACTAACGTCTGAATCTTGTTCAACATCATCGCTAAGATTAGCTTCTTTTTTTAATAGTTCCTCAGTACCCTATAAAATGAATTGCATTAAATCAAGCTGATGTATTTATATTACATTCGTATTAGAAAAATAAAAATTAGCAGAGAAGTATTATAAATAAGTTGTATTATCAGAAATAACACAGTTTGTTAACGCACCTTTAAATTATATTTCTTTAAAACCTGTAAAACTGCTGCCAGTTGATTTTTATCCGGATCACTCATTTTCACTTCTTAAAAGAAAAACATTCATTAAAATAAGAATGAAACGAATAAATTCAAGTTAATATTTAGAGATTTTGGGGAAAACTCGGAAAAATAAACAGTAAACATCAGACATTAGGTTAATAATCCAAATTCTTCTATTCTAGAACTATTTTTTGACAACATCTGTCTAAAGACAGTTTTATTATATATGACGTCAGATAGCCCTGGCACCTGTGGCCTTTAAGGCAACCAATCCCCTACATTATATATGACAATCCTTAATAGAGATGATCGGAGCTTCGATGACTGGAAATTTATTCATTATTTTATTATATAATCTGTGGTCTATTATAATATGAAAACCAAAAATAAAAATTATTTCAAATTCTGGTTTGTTTATACATATACCACCTATGGCACCTATTGTATGTAAAGTTTGGAGAGGTATATGACCTAAATTATAAATTCTTTCATTCTTAATTCCAATTAAATTCAGTATTTTAGGGTCTTTTAACATTATTAATAGGGAAATAAATTTTTGTTTTCTAGTGAGATATTTTGGTCTATGTTGGTGGTATTGTAAGCGTAATACCGCCATTTCTTGTAGGAAGGGAAGCGTTTGTATTTTAGTTTAATAATTAGTGAAACGATAAATTTACAAAAAAAGTAAGTAAACAAGTTACCTTATATTAACGCAGATATGGTATAGTTTCCGTAATATATTAATTCTTCGATTGATACCGTTTAACAACAGCAAATCTCGTTAACGGCGTCTTAATGAAAGATGCCGATATGGCGTCCCGAATTATTGGAACTATTTAAAAAATATCTTTTTTTTATAGCAATGGGCAAAACTAAAGGAGATAGCAGCGAAAGCGAAGAAGAATACTCTGTGGAGAAAATAATAGACCGTCGTGTGGTTAAAGGCAAAGTGGAGTATTTCCTGAAGTGGAAAGGTTACAGTGATGAAGACAACACTTGGGAACCAGAGGAGAATTTGGATTGCCCCGACCTGATAGAAGAATTCGAAAAAAACAGGAAACTTAACCTAGCCAAGGCGAGCAAAGACAAGAAAAGGAGCCGAAGAGATTCAGATGAATCTGAAGAATCTACCACATCACATGATAAAAGTGAGAAGAAGAAAAAACGAACCAAAAGCCCATCCCCAGAGTCTGATGACGAGCCGAAAACCAGAAAGTCAAGAGGAGACAACTCTGACGATGAAAAGAAGAAAGATGATTCTGATGCTGAAGAAAAATCCAAGACTAAGAAAAAAAGGTCAGATTCCAAACCACAGTCGAAAAAAGACGATGATAAAAGAAAGTTAAAGGAGGATGTAAGACAAAAATTAATTAATTTTTGTGTATTTTTTAATTCTAATTGAATTATATTTTGTAGGCTGAAAAAGATTCCGAAGAGGAAGTAACTTCAAAAGATAAGAAAAAGAAAAAGGGTGATTCCAAAGACAGATTATCAAAGGGAAGTTCAAAGAAATCTGGATTTGACAGAGGTCTGGATGCAGAGAAAATAATTGGTGCTTCCGATTCAACTGGTCAACTCATGTTTCTTATGAAATGGAAGGGAACAGATGAAACTGACCTAGTCGCTGCTAAAGAGGCTAATGTCAAATGTCCTCAAGTGGTCATACAGTTCTACGAGGAAAGAATCGCTTGGCACACACCAGATTCTGAATCATAAATACATATATTGGCATTAAAGGTTTTGTAATTGAATGAAATGTTATAATTTTCATACTTATTTTATTAGAAAGTTTAATTTTTTGATATTTGATTTTGATTGACTTAGATGTATATTTAAACCAAACACAGTTTAAGAATAATTAGTTATATCGGTCTTAATTTGTAATAAAATGTTCATTTTTAGAAAAAAGTTATTTTATTTTCCTAGCATATTTACTTATCAATAATTCTTAAATATAACTTTACATAGACATTAGAAAAACACTAAATCTAATATGATTTAAAGAAAACTCTGTCATACACAATACTTTAATTGAGGAAAACTGATTCATCTTAAAAAGGCTGGTACCTCTGTACCGATTTTTTGTTGAATAATTTTTCCATATCCTCCTCTTCCTGCATCATAGTCTGTTCTGTATTCATCCCTTACCTAGAGAAAAAGTATACACAGATATAAAACAGCCATTTGCATTAATATTTTATAAATTACTTGTCCACCAGTTTTTCCTCTACCATATTGACGTCCTTCAATAAATCCAGCATCCCAATCTGTCCTAACAATTCTATCATCAAGACGTGTCCCATTTACATACCTACAAGCAAATAATTTGTTCTTAACTTATACCAGTATCAAATAATAAGTATATACCTTAAACAATTTTCAGCATCAGGCCTAGTGTAATATTCTACAAAACAAAAACCACAAGGAGTTTTTTTATATTTATCCAAACCCATAATAATCCTTCTTATATCTCCACACTTTGAAAATAGTTCATAAATTTGTTCTTCGGTTGTAAAGAACGATAAGTTCCCTACATAGAGTGTAGTGGAGAGCCTTAATAATTTGTCCTGCTCAGCTCGTGTACCCTGTATCCAATTGCCTTTTATTTAATAAATGCAATAATAAATGATTTTAGTATAAAACTGTGACTTACTTTGAAATGTTGATCACGGTAAGAACTCAAATCGATGGACGGGGAAGTATTTGATGCCATTATTCAAATACGTTGGTGTTTTTAACTAAAAAAACGCAAACCATATAAACAAATTAACTTTTTTTGTATTTACTAGAACTAGAAATTTGCAAAAAAAAAGGCTGTCGACAACGGCGACAACTTACAACAATCCTTTGAATAAGACTACAACAATCATATATCACACTTCAATTGAGCTATGGCCTCGAAATATATATGATTATGGATTATGATCCTTTATCATATATAAATAAAATTGTGTACCATTGAACGGATATTTGAGAGAAATAAAAATATGAAGGGGCGGTAACTGTAACTGTCATTAACCCAGAGATATAGGCGTAAATAAGTAAATATATAACTTTTGCATGTTCCATGTAAAAAAATAGTATTTTTTAAACTAAAAGCTGTGAACTATGGAGGGTGAATATATTGTGAACATTCTATGCTGTGAACTAAAAGAAACCCAAAAAACAGTTGTCTCCCGAAAAATACAACAGATTTTAAGCGCAAATATATAACTTTTCGACGTAAAACAAGTATTTTTAAATGTTGCAACTAAAAGAAACCCAAAAAACATTTGTCTCCTTAAAAATACAACAGATTTTAAATATTATCGTTTTAACATTTTAAAATTCCTGAAACTGCAAATAATAGAACTGAAAAACTCGAATTTCCTTTATTTTAATAAATAAAAGCTACGATGAATTAACAAAAAAGTATATTTGGAACATTTACAAGTGTTAGTAATAAATATGTAACTTTTGGGGTAATTTAGTGCTTATGATCTTTAAATAATAAAGTTTCTGCTTTTAGAGAGTCTTTTAGACTTCTCACGTTGTGTTCAGTGGGTGCTTCAGAATCATAGGAAAATGACATATTACTGTTACAATAACGTCCTAATTGGCAATAGATTGAATGCAACTGCACCTTCGGCCTTTCATTTGGAAACTTTGCACCTTAAGACAAAAAGATAATTGAATTGTTTTATAATGGTATTTTTAGTTCTTACCTAGAGTAACGGTAACTAAGCAGTCATAATCTTCACAATCTTCATAAATAAAACAGACCTTAGAGAAACGTGTGGTGTCATATTCAACAATGCCACTTGAAAATTTTTCAACTAACGTAGATACAAAAAGATTTTTTGCTTTATGCTAAAAAAAATTAATGTCTTCATGTTCAGGTATTATCGTATAACTTTTACCTGTTCTGATATGTGTTTTATTTGTTCCTCTATGGTATTTCGAACATCTAAAGCATAATCTGCTAAAGTTGCGTCCTTGTGAAATTTGGGTAATTTCATTTTACCTAAAACCTGTTCAGCTCGAGGAGATAACAACAAAAAGACTTTAGTGCTAGCATTATCTAGCTTTTTCATGACATTTAAACTTGCAAAATCTTCTCCAGGATTTAAAAGTTCATTAAAACTAAAAAAAAAATATTTACAGTTAGATATAGTTTAATGAAAAAACATAGAAACTCACTCTTCTTGGTAATATTCAGGTAAATCACTGAAGTCAATTGGTAAATACATGTTAAAGTTTATACCAATTGAATCTTCACGTGAATGATCCACATCACTCTCAATATATACTTCTATTTTGTCCTCAGGTAGATTCAACGATTGAAGTAAATCTTCATATTGTTTCCTTATATTCAAATACTTATTGTGGTTCAGTAGTTTCTCCACCTGTGCTCTTTTATACATAACTAAGAACTCATTCAAAATATTCAACATAGCTCTAGAATTAGTTAAATCCCATTTATCCCAACTTGGAATATTGTCAGCTATATAATTAACATCAGGTTCAGGCAGAAAAGAGTAGTCGTTAAAATCAAAATCTGGCAATTCCCTGATATCTTCTGGATCAAAAATAATTTCCCAATTTAATGATTTTCCAGCATATGGAAATGTTACACAGAAATGGTAATTGTTAAAGCCTTTCAGTAGTTCTATGTATTTATTCGGTTTAGCTTGTATATCCGTTCTTTGAAACTTGTAGAATCCTTAAAAAAATAATATGTATTGATAAGAAAATGAAAATATAACTATTCTTACCAATTTTTCCATTAAATAGCTCCTCCAAATTTTTTTGGAGATGTTCAAAATATTCGTTGTTTGTCATTTTTATAAATTAGAACCAGAGTTTTAACAGGTTTATTTTCGTTAAGAAAATATGAATAAATAAAGTGATTTTTGTTTATTGACATAAATTTGATTTTCTTTATGTGGGTTAGGGTGTATGCTGAAACTTCTTCTTCTCTTTTATTTAACAGGCCTAATCTACTAGGGCTATATGATTTATTAATTTGTGCTCTAAACATAAAATTATATATGATCATATATTATAGATAGTTAATGCCAGAGCTATCAGACAGAGAAGAAAACGTCAAATGTAAGTAAATGTCAAACTGTGATGTCAAAATATGTCAACTTGTTATTTGTAAAACGTCAAAAATAATAAAAATATGGACCCAATGGACCATTATGAGAAAAATAAGTGTAAATAAGTTTGTTTAAGATTATTTTTCGTAAATAATTACTAGTTGTCATATAATGTGAATTTAAAAGTGTTAAACACATTCCATATTTAAAGACTGATACTTGTAAAAATGCTCAAAAAGTTATTTAGTGCCAAGTTTTTCTAATTACTTGATAGTGTTTTGCCATTAAGAAAGTACTCATATCAATGGATAAAGATAACAAAAACTTTCTAAAAGAATGGCCAAATATTAAAAACTTTTTTGTTGTTACTCTAAAAAACTGAACATTTTTTCTACCTTATAGTTGTCCAGTCAAGGTAATAACAATTATCATTTTCAAGGTGAGAGAGGAATAATTAGTGAATTTTATTGTTTTTATTGCATTTTATTTGCTATTTATTCATTTTTAATAGGCCTAAAATTAATTGTTTCATAATTTTAGAATACTCTTTCAATTATTTACGATGAAGGGGCTTAGCCCCTTATTGTTATTACTGAATATCCTAACATTGGATAAAGTAGTTTCACAACTTGGACCATGTGACCGCACCAGAAGAGTTTTAACTGCTCCAAGAGGAGTATTAAGTACAGGTCCAATCGGGGCTAACTATACCCAGGTTTGTTTATATTATTTTATAAAAAGGTTTTATTATTAACACCTGGTTTTAGGATAGTCATTGTGAGTGGCTTATAAAGTCCAACAGCAGTACAGAGAGGTTTATATCACTTACCTTCCGAAGTATGGGCACGGAATGTGCTTACGACTATGTCTTTGTGTATGATGGATCATCCTTCAATGCTCCTCTTCTAGGAAGTTTTAGTGGAAGGACAGCACCACCTCGAGTAACAGCTGCATCAGGAAGTATGTTACTGTTACTCTACAGGTAGGTAAATCAGTCTTGAATATACAGGATTCTGAATAATTTACACTTTTAGTGATACAAACTATGTTTTGGATGGTTTTCGTGCAGAATATACTATCTCTGCATGTCCTGGTAATTGTACAGGAAGAGGATATTGTTTGAAAGGCAGATGTATTTGTAATGATGCGCAATGGGGTGGGCCAGATTGTTCGAGAAAATTATGTCCAAACGGTATGTATATTTTTCATATTTTAAAAAATATATACAGGTTGTTTCTTAAGGGCATGCTAATGTTTAAGGGGGCGTCCCTATGTTCTATATATCTTTTCTCTTTATGGAACGCCTTGTATAATTTCCCAGACGTATATTCATTTATATTTTCTCTATAGAGTGTGGCAAAAAAGAGCGTCACGGTCAGTGCGACAAGGGTCATTGTATCTGTAGGTCAGGTTACTCAGGCCGTTCGTGTTCGTTGCCTGAAAAAAGTCCGTCGGATGGGCGTTGGCATTATTTGGCTCAAACTGGCGAAGGACTAAGGCCTAGGGCGGCTCACTCCGCTGTTTATGTAGGAATTACAGATGCCCTGTATGTATTTGGAGGGTACGACCTGAACCACGTCCTAGCAGATCTTGAGGTAATTAGTAAATAATAATTTTAAAGGAATACCTGCATTTTTTATAATTTTAGGTGTACAATTTTCAAACTAATAGTTGGCGTGATTCTAATGGAAACGAATTAATAGATTGGGAACTGGTCGACAGAGTGGATCCCGCTGAAGCTGCACGTTTTATTGCTCAACAAAGTAAGTGTTTTAACATGTAATTAATACTGTATTGTATAAATTAATGCAACAAATAACTAATACTTATACGAAAATATATATTTTTAATAAATTCTGAATTAAACATGAGTTGTGATCAACTAAGCGACCGCAAAGGAATTTTAATATGGATGTTTTAAATTGCGGTTTATCAGTGGCGTACTAATTTTATTTAAAACATGTTAAAAAGTAGGGTAAATTCAGCAATTTGCTGCTTTTGTCTTAGTTTGAGTCAATAACTGATAGTTGTTTTTAAAATTGTTAAAAATATATATTTCTCTAATAAAAAAACATTGGCGCCGGGAGACACGTATAGCCGCCCATACTGAAATATGTTAATAAAAAGTTGGTAGGCAGTTCTTTTAGTTTCAGAGTAAAGGCATTTTTTCATTTTTTTTTATCTCAAAAACTGCGACTTTGACTGATTTTGATGTTATTACAAATTTTGTTGCAAATATTATTCCTAATCTTAAATTGAAAACCGCGTTTCGCTAGCTACTGTAATTTTGGAGTTACGATTTTTTAAAATTTTTTACCCCCTCCCATACCCCTTACCAACCTCCCACCCCCACCAAAACTAATGGCCAGATTCTCGGGTGCCACAGTATTTTTGTGTCAAATTTGGTTAAAACCGGTTTAGCGGTTTTTGAGTTATTGTGTTACAGACAGACGGATAGACAGACACCATGAAAATATTTTGTATTAAGGTCATTTATGACCCAAATAACTTTTTTTTGCCAATCTTAATAGCCTACCATACCTGTACAAACTGGCGGGAAATACAAAGTAGTCAATTTATTTATCAATGGACAGACTATACAAGTGATTGAAATACCATTTTTTAATATCCCAATTTGATATTATTTCGAAAACACTCTAGTAACGTTTATGAATGTTTTTAAGGTTTGGAAGGTCTGGGTCTTCCCCAAAATTCGCTGGTCAGCAATATTTTCTACGCCCTCGGCGACAATTCTTCCAAGTTCTTGCGTAGGCAACGGCATAGCGGAGGCCTGGCCGAAGAAGTTGTCGTGGGACCTCGCGGAAGATACGGCCATTCAGGCTGTGCCGCAGCCAATGGATTTGTTTTGTATGGTGGCAAGTTAAAAGATGGCAATCTGTCAGACCAACTATGGTAAGCTTTTTTTCAGTTTGTTGATTATTCATGCTTCAGGTATCAGTTAGGGGGTGTCCATAAGTTACATGAGGCGTTTTTGAGGATTTTTTTTGCTTTATTAAGACTAGCAAAGACTAGTATTTGAGATTGGTTAGATCGTAATCAAAAATCACGGTGATAACATAAAATAATACTTAAATGGGAAGATTCTCAGAGAAATAATATATACCGGGTGCCTCTCAAAAGTGGCTCACCCCTATAACTTTTTTATTTTTTTCAGGTAAAAGCACGAGATTTGGTATGTTAGTATATGACATAAATTAGGATTGATTGACGTATTCAACTGTTTTCGGTCACTTCCTGTTTCACCGCTACAACTTTTGATTTTTAAATGGCACTCTCGATATTTTTTACTTTATTTGATAGAAAATGACGCTCTCGGAATAGAATGACATATCATATGTCAATTTTTGACATTTTCGAATATGGTTTATTTGAAATTGTAACATGTGGTTCATAACAACAATTTGAGTCGAAATACCAAGTGTGTGGTATCAAATTATTCGGAAAAAAAATGCTTTTGCCAAATATGCTAATGAGCCACCCTCGTTCCTTTTGAAAAAAAATTGAGATATGATTAAAAATACGATTTGGACATCTTTTAACCGGCCAGGACAAGACACTAAAAACATTAGACGATCAAATGTATTTTTCCAAGGTCTCTTGATTAAAAATTAGTATTTTTAATATAGCCATAGCACTCTAGATTAAAATTTAAAAATTTTTATTAAGCGAGAATGTCAAAAGTTGACATATGATATGAAATTCTATTCAGAATATCATTTTCTACCAAATACAGTAAAAAAACACCGAGGGTGCCATTTAAAAATCAAAAGTTGTAGTCATTTCCGGTGAAACAGGAAGTGACCGAAAACAATTGAATACGTCAGTCAATCCTAACTTATGTTATATATTAACATACTAAATATCGTTTTTTTATCGGAAAAAATAAAAAAGTTATAGGGGGTGAGCCACTTTTGAGACGCACCCGGTATAGATAAACCTTTATACAAAACGAAAATAGCCAAGATATACAAACTAGAGGTAAACAGAACAATGCTCTAGGTTATTTGGGTGGTGTGGTGTCTCATTTAATATATTTAATTTCAGACTGTTCCAAATATATGTATTTTTTATAAAACAGTAACCAAGATCAATATACACGACAAATTAAAATGTCCTCGTATAAATAAATATTTAAAGTATTCCTAATAATTTTTGTTTAGGTACTACGACGTCCAAACACGGTTGTGGCACTTGCGCGCGCAATTCTCCGTCGACCGACCGCCCAAACTAACGAGACACACCTTGACTTGCGTGAACAACACCATTTACCTTTTCGGGGGAAGTACACCGGACGGGGAGTTCTCTTCTCAGCTCTGGCAAATCAAACTACATTCCGACTTTACCGAACAGTGGGCAGAAGTCCATGCTCGAGGCGGGAAACCACTTGACATCCGGGTAGTCGCTCACACCACTGTCCATCACAGAGCAACAAACTCTCTCATCGTTTACGGAGGCATTGCCGCCGGCGTTGCCAGATTTTCCAAGCTCTCCGACAAAATGTTCGCCTTTCAACTCGACAATAAGCACTGGACCGAAATACACTACACCAGGGAACATTTAAGAGAAAAATTTGTACCGAGAGAACGAGCTTTCCATAGTGCCAACGTTTTCGGGAATTATCTGGTTATTTTTGGAGGATACTCACATAGACACAACAAAGAAGAAATATGCTACGACAATCAAATGTATTTGTATCATTTGGGCTGCCACACGTGGGTCAACCCGGACATTTTAGGCAGTCACAACGAATCGCGGTATCCAAAACAACAGGGAGTTTTTGCTCACGCTTCCAGCGTGCGTAACGATCACACTTTAGTTATAGTAGGCGGATATCACGGAAATGTAAACGGGGATTTACTAGCCTGGACAGCTCCACCAGCTTTAAGAAGCATCCCTCCTTCAGCTTGCTCGTTGCATGTCTCATTTGGAGCTTGCTCAGCCGATCCAGAATGCGGATGGTGCAGCGCAGACGACCGCTGCTATGGCCGGACAGTCGGAGCTAACTGCACCACTAACCTACAAACCGCCAGATGTCCGGGGGTATGTCCCGCTCTCCAGGACTGTCACTCGTGTCTAGTTCACGGTCATTTACACGGCACCGAAGAATCCAGCTCTTCTTCGGCGTCATATAGGTTAGGATTAGGAGAGTGCGCTTGGTGCGTGCAAAACGCCCGATGTCACCCTAAGGACGATCCTCACGGCGCTGGCGCTTGCGGGGCTCAAGAGGACAGTCCTAGTCAAATACCAGGCTGGTGGGGACCGAAAGGAACGGAGATTCGACAGCCTCAAGATTGCGCGGCGTTGGATCATCGACCGGGATTGACTTTTATTAAATACAATCACCCAGCTAATTTCTCACAGCCTGACCATGTTACAACATTGAACGCTACTACTATAGACTTTAACGGGGCTGCTTTTTTACCGGCTCGTATAGACGGATTGGGAGGACAAGTAGTGGCTAATTTGTTGGGGTTTTTACGACTTCCGATAGGGTGGCGCGAGACACTTAACATCTGCGCTAGTCACTCTGTAACTACCGTGACTTTAGCCGATACTTTGGTTTGTAACATCACAACAGTCGAACGAAACTGTACTTCGAGACCTTGGCCGGAAGATCTCCCTGAAGGACGTATCCCTATAAATTATCAAAGTGTTAAGACAGTAGGGCAGTTATACACACCGCACCAGCAAAGCCGTATGGAGCTTCAACATTCTAAACCTGAAGAAACACCGAAAGTTTTTACATTCGAATATTTAGAACCCTTTGCTAACGGTACTTGCTCTCAGTACACCAACTGTCTTCACTGTTTAACCGATTCCCAATGCGGTTGGTGCGAATTGACTAATACTTGTCGATCGAGAACTGACGACGAACAAGAGACTTGTGCTTTGGACGGAGATTGGAGATACCTAACGATACAACCGGGAATGTGTCCCAATTGTAGTAATTTTATTTCTTGCACTTCCTGCGTAGCTACGGGTATTTGCGAGTGGTGGATCGAAGAAGCACGTTGTACTAGAATGGGACAAAAACCAGGATCGGTAATTGAGGCATCTGAATGTCCCACTCCATGTTATATGCGCAGTGGATGTGACTCTTGTCTCGACCAAAGAGGTAGATGCGTTTGGTGCCAAGCCACGCAAAAATGTTTTAGTTTTTCAGTATACACCAGCGAATACCAGTTCGGATTATGCAGAGAATGGCTGGACCAAGCCTTTCCCCTCATCACCACACACGAAAACAGTTCACTAGCTCCGAAATCTCAAGAACAATGCAAAGCTTGTGCTGCACACACCAACTGCTCTGCCTGTCTAGGAGCTCTAAGTTGCGGGTGGTGTCACGATGCATCGAATCCTATGTCAGGAATGTGCGTAAGAGGAGACTTTCAAAGACCCGAAACAAGTTGTTCTGAAGTTTTGGGTGGTAAAGAAGCTAAATGGGCTTATGCGCAATGCCCAGATGTAGACGAATGTGGCTTAGGACTTCACGACTGTCACCCTCAAGCTGACTGTATAAACACTGACGGTTCCTTTAGCTGTCACTGTCGGAAAGGGTATATCGGAGACGGGAGGTCTTCTTGCGTGAGAACTTGCTACAACGTGTGTGTTCACGGGAGTTGTCAGGGTGAACCGGAGTACAAATGTTCGTGTGATGTCGGATGGTACGGTGACGATTGTTCGAGAAATTGCGGGTGTAACAACCACTCAGCCTGTCCGGAAGGGTACCAGATATGCGATCAATGCCAGGACCACACCATGGGTAAATATTGCGAGTACTGTAGACCGGGTAGTTTCGGAAATGCGACCACAGAACAAGGTTGTAGACCTTGCGAGTGTAATGGACACGGAGATTCAGATAAAGGCGAGTGTGACATTGAAACCGGCGAATGCTTCTGTCAAGATAACACGGAAGGTCTGCATTGTGAACGGTGCAAGCCGAATTATTCCGGTGATCCCCGAAATGGACAACAGTGTTACTACCAATGCGAGGCTCGAGGGGTTCTAACTGAACCAAAAGGTCAAGGAATCAGCTCACTGCAGAACTTAAATCCGCCTCATGGAGGACCACCTATTGGAGAATGTCTGTGGATTATTAAACCGGATGTGGATTATGGTACTCCGATTATTCAGCTTCAGATCAACTCCACGCAGCTGAACGTAACCTGTGGTGAAAACGCCGTTTATGTGTATGATGGTCTTCCGGAATTGGTGGATATGGGAAGTCAAAGTGCACTGTCTGCGGTGTTTTGTACTCAGGAGGCTTTACCAACGGCTATAGTCGAGTCTAGAACAGGTAAGATTTTTTTGTTCAGGCTTCCGATCTAACCCTAATACTAACATTACCACTAATCTCAAGAATCTGAATCAAGGTTAACGAACTTTTCTTGAACGAATTTGCCATAAAATAGCGAACAATTTGTTACAAAACCATATACATTATATATCACTGTAATCACAGAACTTCAACCTATTTCCGTGTTGTAATGGAATTTGAAATTATGTCTTTATTTTCGAGAAAATTTAGTCCGAACAGAAGGAATATTTAGTTGATGTTTGACCATCAAAATCTTCAAAATAAAAAAGTTGTCTAAAAATGTACTACAATACGGATATAGTATAATCCTGTATCTTTAATTTCGTTCTTCGTTTGTGTAAAAATACCTAGGCAGTTTTACATAAAACGTTAAATGCTTATTTTGCTACTTTTTTGGACTAGTGAAATGGACTCTAACATATTGAATTTGACGGTTTATGTATGTTTGTTTAAAGTCTTGGTGCCCAACGTGGGGTCAAAAAATAAAACAAAAATAAAATTCTGTAAACCAAAAGTTTGTAAGAAGAAATTTGACTATTACACATAACAATTATTGTTTACAGGTCATCTAACAGTCCACTACAAACAAGGCCCACCCAACGAAAGCTTTAGCGCAGTCTACAAAGTCATAAGCTGCGACGCGTGTGAATCACCGCGCGAATGTCGCGACGGCAAATGCGTCTGCCAGGAAGGCTTTGTGGGCCCGAATTGCTACGAAGAGATCTGCCCTCGCAACTGCAGTTCGGCTGCGGGACGGGGTTCTTGCGACGCCAACTACGGCAGGTGTCTTTGTAATGAAGGATGGACGGGTCAGGATTGTAGCATCGCGTGAGTTGTTTTAATATAACTAATCTGTGGAGCACTAACTGTCCAGCACTAACTAACTTCCAATCTCTTTGATGCAGCTTTAACCTTTGGACGAGGTTCGAGTTTTTGTAAGTTTTTTTTCTCACAAAATTAATCATATAATCAGCTTTGTAGTCATATATTTATATCGAATTATTTGATAAATTTAGAAAATAGAAATAAATAAAGAGCGAGTTTAAATAGCGAGTACATGAAAAAAAGTGTGTTATAATATTTTTCCCCTTACCTGTAACAACTATTATTTGGTGTTTGTAAGGAGTAGTTTAAAATAATATAAAAATAAATAAAATTATTCAAAAAATTATGACCTGTGATACATTCTGTTATCTAAATTTTTCGAATAATATATCTTAGATATGCATATACTCAGGTAAGTAAATTTATATTTGTTTCACAGGGAAACCAAGTTACAACTAGTCTTCATAGAACTCTTCAATACAGAGCGTTTGGCTGTGGGTTTAGATCATTTACGAAAAACGTTACCCCGTTTTGGTCACTCCTTGGTATCAGATCGAAGAGGTTCTCTATGGATGTTTGGAGGTTATTCTTTGAGCCACGGTCCTTTGAATGATGTCAGGCTGTTTGACACTAAAAATATCAGTTGGATACAGGTAAAGATTGAATTATCATTGTCTATTTTTGGATATTTCTTCAAAGAATGTGGTAAATTTATTTATTTTCATGATTTTAATTTTTGATTTAGTGTGATGTGTTTTTTAAATGGTAACCAAATAATCACATCTAGGGCTTGACTTCGCCAAAATTCATTTCACAGCCGTCTTTGACGCCGATTTTTTTTTCGATAGTATGTTATATAATATTTCGGTTATTCTTAGGTCACTGTTGAATCTACTCCTGACGCCAGAATGCCGCAAGGAAGGTATTTTCACGGAGCCGACATTGTACATTCCAAACAGGCTATTTTTGTGTATGGCGGACTGACAAAACCTCAAAAGAACTTAAACAATCGGTAAAAACCTTAATTAAAATTTATTTTTAATAGATTCTATTGAATTATTTGTTTATTAAAACAGGACATTGAACGATTTCTGGCAATTCGACATCCCAAATCAGAGGTGGGATGAAATTGAATCTCCCTACGCCAATGTAAAGCTGCCTTCGGCTTACTGGGTGACCGATTGGCCTCCGGCACTGTACGGGCACACGCTGACGTACTACAGGTAGGGATGTGTAGAATATATTGATACTGTTATTACTTTAGCCATAGGTTTAGCTAAGCTGTATTTTTATTAATAATATTTACTTTTTGGCATAGATAAAGGAAACAAGCTTATAATTAATTATTTTGGGGTGCATACGTTGTACGGGATCTGGCGCTGCTATAGCGGTTGCTAAGAACAACCGCAAATAAGAACACAAATAATTTTCTCTTGTCAAAGTCAGAATCATGAAAAATTATAAGACCTTTCAAAATTTAAACTGCCCTCATTGAAAAAATATCGAAAAATGTTTAAAGTAGCCATTTTCAAAGTAATTATTGCTATCTTGTGAGTTTAATTTAAATTTTATTTACGCAAACTCGTGATAATTGTGAAAAAGTGGCATTAAAAACTTAAAAAGCTGTGTGAACTGTGAACTGCAAAAACCATTGTGCATCGTGGCATAACGTCGGTTTCCAATATTTTTTAGGTATTTCATATATGGCCTTATATAAAATAAAATTTCTTGAATACAACACACTGTATTTTATTTATAAAGTTAAAAGAAAATAATAATAAATTTGAATAAATAATATTTGGCGACATAATTCTGGAAAAAGCCGAACCGCTCCGAAATTATCAAAAGCTTTGGAGAGAGACCATCGTAAGAATAGCACCAAGTAGTATTTACATTTTCCTTATGGGCACTTTCCAATCTAAACTTATTTCCTTTATGCTTTTTGGTTTGTTTTGACGTTGTTGGTAATCATAACCACAAGATCACAACAGCCAATTATGTCATTTATTTTGGATCGCTTTGTATTAACAATCTTAATGACAGGAACGCTGACAGAGACGAGAGCCTAATACTCATAGGCGGTGATTCCCCGAATCACGGATTTCTGAACGTTATATGGGAGTACTCTATCGACAAGAACGTCTGGACCAAAATAATGAGCAAAGGAAACGGACCCGCGGGCATTTTCGGACACAGCACCGTGTTCCACTCCCAAACGAACAGTTTGTACGTGTTTGGAGGTTATGTCTACGAGAAGCAGATGAGCGTCATGTCCAACAGTCTGTATCGGTTGGAGTACGAGACGAAAACGTGGATTGAACTGACAGGAGGCAATAGTGGATACGTGGTAAGTCGTTAGATACAATTGAGGTTAGAAACTTTAGTATCGCTCTTAGAATGTTTTTGTTCATTTGCCTTCTCACTTGACACATTTGAATATTTTTTGCAGATTTCTTAGGAATTGCTGAGTTTACTTAAGTTATTTCTTGACTATTTTTTAATTAGTTTTATGCAAAGTGTACAAGCTTGGAGAGAGATTGTGTCAAAACAGGAAATAATTAAAAAGAGATAGATAATATGTGATTTCTGAAGGCGCGTGTTGCCTCTCTTTCTTACTAACTTCACGTTATTTATAACAGCTTAAGTTCAGATCACTGAATTATTGCTTGTTAGCGCTACTGTGGTCATTTATTGAATCCTTATTTTTTCCATTTTGGTGACCAACGTGAAAGATGTTTCTCCTTACCTCTACCCTCCATAGTTTTAGTAATAATAATATGACAGAGGTTTGCATTTATTTTTTTTAGCCAAAACCGAGATTCTTTCATTCTGCCGTTACCACAGATCATTACATGCTGATTTTGGGCGGGAGAATATATCCATGGAACATAAGCGATACACTGTACGCGTTCTCATATAATTGTAATCAGTGGATTAATCTGATGACTGAGTGTAAGTTTTTTATTTTATTATGTGTGAATCGCATGGAAATTTTATTTTTTGTTATTGTATAGCCGTGGAAAAAATTGGGCCTCATCCAAAGCAGACTTACGCTCAAGCCATGACAATCGAACCTGACGGAGATGCAGCCTATGTGATTGGTGGTTGGGATATTGATACGCACACGAGTGTATTGAAAATAGGTAGGTTAACTTATGTTTAAGGTACTACAAAAGAGAATTAATGCTTTTTGGCTGCATATAATCAGTCCAACGGAGGAATCCTGTCAGTGACAGTTATGTCTGTCATTTTAATTCATAGGCAAATTGTATTTTCTGTCATTTTTCGGACGTCGTCTGTCGAAGTCTTCCCTGACTTGTCAGACAGACTAAAGGTTTTTAATTAGCGGTAATTAGGTTAGGAAGTTTTGTGATTTTTTAATAATCAGTTTAGGTAAAGTAGATTTTTATCTGTCGTTTCTTGGATGTCATCTATCGAAATCGTATTCTTTTGCTGGACTTACTATAACTGAAAACTGCATTTTTCTGATAACTATAAGATAATATCATACTTTCGACAAAAACGGCGTTAAGGAAGGCTGGGAAATGAGTGACATTCGATGGTAATTTTGGCGAGTAATTTTGGCTTGGGGGTTGTTTGCTAGAATTGCTTAGACCAGGTCCTCTCTTTTGATCAAAACAACTATTAGAAAAATATACATTTATTGTGCAAAAATATACGATATAAAACAAATGGGTCAATCTCGGGAAATGCCAGGACTCGCTAAGGGTATACTCAAAGGAGTACTTAAAGGAACATCTTCACTATCTTCTGACTAACCATTTGACTATCAACTCACTATGAACTGATTTTTTCATGCCCTTTTTATATTCCTTCTATCCCTTGTAGTCATCGCCAGTTACGTCGTCAAAATAGTTTACAATCTAACTACACTAACCAACTTCAGTGACCTGCTTTTGATTATCGACCCCTAATTGTTTAATTATTAATGTTATTTAATAACATATCTGGTTACATCAAATTGGTTTACTGGAATTATATTTTACATGATTTTTTCCCAATTTGATACAAACCCAAGTTGACATCTATTCAAGTCTTGATATTGTTTTAGAGCTTCCAATGGACATATGCAACTTGTTCTCCACCAAAACAACATGTTTAAGAGTACCCGGTTGCGGATATTGTGCCAACAAAAATGGCGACGACATTGTCACTCAAATCTGTCACAGGAACACGCTGGATTGTCCCTTAGACTCTACCGGAAATAGTAATACAACGTAACTTTATTTATTCCATTTATTTTTATCAAATGTTTTTTTATTTAGCCGTAAGAATCTCGAACAGCGGTCGCATTTGCGAAGGCCAATACATCGGCGGAAACTGTTCCTCTATAAAAGATTGTGGCACGTGCAGTCTGTCACCTGGTTGTGTATTTTGTAATGGTACTGATACGTGTGTTAACTCTATAGATACGGAATGTGCGTCACAGGTACAGCATTTAATGTTTAAAATAGTATTTGTTAAGTATATATTTTTATTTTATTTGTGTTTTTTTTGTAGATTTGTCCTTTTAGAAAATGCGTAGCGACTGATTGTGTACAGTGTCACCAGCTGGAACGTTGCGAATGGAGTTATTCAAGAAGAATATGTGAAAGAAGTAAGTAAATTATTAGTAAAAACTGCTGCTCACAAAACATTAACTTTTAGAATTAGTGCGTACATTATTAGTGTACTGGATATCCCATTTTCGTGTTTTTTATGGTGTTTCTCGATTATGAAGAGAGACACAGTGCGGTTTTCACATCACTGTACTACTTTCTTATGAAACTAAAGATGCTATACACAGATTTGTCCTAGTCCTTTTAGTTCCTGAAATACAGGGCTCCCTTTTAGATTACGTTCCTTAATCTAACGTTCCAATAAACAAATTTCAGCCAACACCACCCATGAAGCGCACGTGATCGGCCAATGCCCCGCCTCCTGCTCCACCTACCAATCGTGCTCGGACTGCCTCAAGATCCACGGCTGCCATTGGTCGACGCGACTGCACGAGTGCCTAAACTCCGCCTCCCAGTCGGTGTATTGCGCGGGAGGCACCTGCGGTCTGGTGCTCGAGTCCAACGACCCCAAACAGTGTCCCGAGCCTTGCAACGCTTTCGATCAGTGCTCGAGCTGTTTGAGACACGGGAATTGCGGGTGGTGCGCCGCCCCTGGAGATAGTGGGAAGGGGATGTGCTCGGAGGGAAATAGCGAGAGGCCGATGAAGGGGGATTGTAGTAAGGTGGTCGAAGAAATGGGGAGTTTATTGGTAAGTTACTAGTATGATAATATGCTCTTTTTTAGTTTGAAGTTCTCATCTTTGACAAGATCTTTGAATGAGAAAAAGTCAATATGCTTGTTTTTTTCCATTTCATTTTTTTATTTATATAATATTTGTAATATAATATAATTTTTTTCCATAAAAAATGTTTTAGTGCATGGCGATTTGCAGTAATCATATAACTTTTTTGTTTATAAAGATTTTCATATACTGTCTGCAGTGTATATTTAAAATATAGCAGAAACGTTAAGAAATTCAAAAAAAACACACAATCAATTATTTCTTATGGATTTCGAGATATCGATTTTTGAATTCAGAGTTCTAATAGCGCGACCACTGTCAAACACAAACTCAATTCCACTTATTTTTACCAAAAGTGATAAACTTCTTTAGCCTAAATAAATATTGTCTGAGCTCATTCAGACTGTTTTCAGATATCTCTGGTAAAATAGATTGTAAATTAATTTGTTATTAATATTTTAGGAAGATTTCGTTGACGATCAAAATTACACGTGGCATTACGTGACATGTCCGAAAGAAAATGAATGCGCCAACGGTCACCACAGCTGCGCGAACGGTTCCGAAATCTGCGTAGACTTGGACTACGGCTACAAGTGCGTGTGTGGCGAGGGCTATAAGCTGGGAAGTACCGGATGTGAACCCGTCTGTCCTCAAGGTAAGTGATTTCTAGTTTAATCAAGCTGTGTGTATAGCGTGTCCTAAATTCGAGGGTAACCATTGGTACCTTCGATAAGAGATAATAAGGAAGAATTTTATGTTTATTTGCAAAGCAGGGTAGGCAAAAATTAGCAAAATAATAAAATAAGAATAGCATAAATAATTAAGTAATGAGTATAATTATTTTTACTCTAAATATCAGTTTATACATCTTTTGTGTTTGTTTAGGATGTGTTAGGGGTCGCTGTGTGGCACCGTCGAAATGTGAATGTGAATTCGGTTATGTGGGGGCTAATTGTTCGATTCAGTGTCTTTGTCACGGCCATTCCAACTGCGAAGGGCCTGACAAACTGGATCACTGTATCAAGTGTCATAATAACACTAAGGTACTTTCAGTTTGCTTTTATATACCTACATACCTTAGAGAAATAAGCAAAATATTTGATGATGCAACAGTCACAGATCACATGTCTATATAGTGATTCTAATGGACTAAAAATAAATGGTTATTTTTATGTTAGGACACATCTATCTTTGCTTATTTCTCTGAGATACCGTCTATATTATATTCATAGAGTAAAGAAACTATAGAGATATTCCCAGATCTAGATATGTCTTTGGATATATTCTGTGAACTTATTAGAATTACCTCTGTATTCTAACTCTATGAATATATTAGATGTCATTGTATTGTTGCTTTGGATCTCATTGGATTTTATCCAAACTATTTTTATCTAAATTTTCTTTGTGGTTCTGTGATTTAGGGTGACAGGTGTGAATTTTGCGAACCGTTTTTTGTCGGAGACCCCACCAATCGAACAGCGTGCGTTCCATGTTCGGAATACTGTCACGGACATTCCAACTATTGCGTTGATGCCAATTCTACGTTCTCTATACAGCGCAACGACTATGTCGACGTTGAAGTACTATTGGAAACGTTACACGTCGGTCCTAAAGGCGACGCAGTTTGCCTGAGATGCACGGACAAAACCACAGGGAACAGATGCGACGAGTGCATTACAGGTAACGTGACGTCATACTAGTAGTCGTTAATAAACAAAAAATTATTGATAGTTATCAGCTTAGTGTTGTCATCTTTCATATTGTATAATAATTAATATTTTTACTTCATATAGGGAACTTTAGGGGGTCCGATGTGCTCGGAGACCCGTGTAGGTCGTGCGACTGTCACGGCCACGGGACGAAATGTCATCCTGTGACAGGTGACCAGTGCGACTGTCAAAATAACACCGTAAGCGACGAGTGTTCTGGACAGGGTAGAAATTCTGCCCAGCCTTCTTGTTGGGAGGTAAGTCGTGTATGTTTTGTATAACATTATTTATGGTACTATTTTTACAAAATGGCTTCTTTTATTTACAGTCACATATGTAAAGTTGAAATTACTGAGTATTTAAAATTTGAAAATTATCTACCTTAGATCGCTCCATATAGTACGACAGCTAGCAACGTCGGAAAGATAAGTATTTTAAGACGTCTGGCTCTTTGATATATCTTTTAGTATTTTTTTTTAGAATTTAGAATGAGTGGGAGGGGGGTTAATCACTTCGACCTTACAGATCCATTGTGCCCCCCTTTCTTGAATCATAACTCATCATACAGTCCCAGGGCTTTGACAAAAGCCAGTATCTGGGACGGTTTTATAGAGGGTAGTTCTCCATCTCCAATATCAGTCGTACCAAAATTCATGGCACGAATGGTTGTCGTCTCGGCGCACTCAGTTATGAGGTGTACTGGTGTTTCACCATCTTCCCCACAGAATCTGCATTCGCCGTTTCTTCTTAGTTTCAATCTACTGAGGTGTTCATTGAGGAGACAGTGTCCTGTTAAAAACCCCGTGATAATCCGAAGATTGTTCTTACTCAGACCTAGGAAGATCTGTGATTTTTATTGATCATAAGCCCTCAGAAACTTCTTCGAGTGTCCTAGACCATTGCAAGATTTCCATTCCAGGTTGCGGATGGAATCTTCCAAGTTCTTGAGTTCCTCCTTGAGTTGGTTACCACTTGGAAAGCAGAACGGTTCTGGTCCAGTTAGTGGAGTGTTCGCTCCTTTTCTACCTAGATTATTTGCTTTTTCATTGCCTTTTATCCCTTGGTGAGCAGGCACCCAGTGTAGGAGGACTTTGTTTTCTTTGCCTAATTTATTCAGCTTCTCTATGTATTCTTTGACCAATTTCGAATTGATTGAGACTGAGTTGATCGCCTTTAACGCTGCTTGACTATCAGATAAGATGGCTATTTCTTGTTTCCGATAGTTCCTATCTAAGATAAGTTGTACGCATCTCTCGATAGCGTAGATTTCTGCCTGTAGGATACTAGGGTAAGTGCCCATTGGTTCGGAGTAATTAGCTCTCGGCCCAACACTCCGATCCCTGTTCCCGTATTGGTTTTGGAAGCATCAGTATACCAAGTTTGGTATGGTCTTTTTAACTGCTGGGCAAGCGTTTCGCTCTTCCAATCCTTCTTATTGCTCAATACTACATTGACATGTTTGTCAAAGTTGTACGTTCTTGGCATATCGTCCACTGGGAGTTGCAGGAGTGGTATTTCCTTTTTGAGGGTGTTCCAAGCCCCTGATCTGACAATTCTCCCAGTACTAATTCCGTTAGTGACCATTCTAATCATTGTCGCATTATCTTTTAGTATGCTCTCTAGAACAGCATGCGGTCCGTCTAGCTGCCGGTAAACGTTGCGTTCCCTACTGCGCATTGAAAGAAGATCCTATATTTTTATTAGTCCTTTAAATTCTAGTATTGAATATAAATCGAACATGTCTCCTTAGCGCAGTGCGTAGAGTTTCCGACCACGAACCGAGTATTCAGAGTTCGAATCCGAGCCAGGGTAAAGACTTTTATTTCATTTTCGTTTATATTCTGATAGTAAAGTATTAAATATTTGTTTTTTTTGAATCACCAGAGTTATTTAATACTTTACTATCAGAACATAAACGAAAATAAAATAAAAAAGTCTTTGCCCTGACCCGGATTCGAACTCTTGAATCCTCGGTTCGTAGTCGGAAACTCTACGCACTGCGCTATGGAGACATGTTCGATTTATATTCAATACTAGAATTTATAGGACTAAATTAATAATAAATATAGGATCTTCTTTCGATGCGCAGTAGTGAACGCAACGGGTATCGGCAGACAGACGGGCCGCATGCTGTTCCAGAGAGCATAGCAAAAGATATATCAAAGAGCCAGACGTCTTAAAATACTTTCTCGAAAACGTTGCTAGGCTCTTAGACTAATAGTATTACTGAAATTAACTTGAACACACTTCAATAAAATAAGAAATAATAATCAAAAACTATCAAATTTTCTGTAGGTACAATGTGCCAAATGCAGAGAAGGATTTTTAGGAACGCCCACTAACGGAAGGCAATGCTACAAGCAAATGTCTGTCGACAATAAAATGTGTTTCAATGCCAAACCAATTGGTAGGTTATTAAATAGGGTATAGAGTTCCCGCATCTAAAGATGAACCCACCGATTCATCAATGACACTATTCCATTGCGACCGCGTGCTTAGTAGCTGGTCTTATCTTTAGATGCGGCAACTTTACCAGGACTATGTGTGTTGTGATGAATTGGTAAAATTTCGATTTTTAGATGAATGCAAGATGCCTAGACCTTTACAGCCAGGCGAGTTGGTGTTTTTCGTGATACAGCCTAGATTCATGAACGTAGATATTAGGATTGTAGTGGACGTGACTCAAGGGGCTTTAAACGTGTTTATGAGTACACACGATGACACCTACGTTGCTCGTCCCAACACTACAACGGGAATCAATGACATTGAACTAGATGAAATTTACAGGTGAGAATGTACACTCAGTTGTAATGTGTTATATTTTTTTTACTTTTAGCTCTGTTTTTATGAATTTTTTAGCAAACTGTATATAAATCTATCAACTTTAATTCATCAACTCAGTTTTTTTATAATCTTTAGTATTTGGCTTATTGAACAGGGTTAATTGAAGGGTTATTTTTCACCTTAACTTTAAAACACCCTGTAGTAATTTTTCCTAAAACATTATTTTTCGATTAGAACTTTGAATAAGAAGACTAAGGAATGAGCATAATGCTATCCATGTATTCATGCATGGTGGGCGGAAAAGCCACCATAAAAGCTCTCTAGGGTGGGGATCCTTGACAGTTCTGTTTGACGATTCATTTGACACATTTGAATTTGATTTGAAATTTTGTGGATTTGTCAGTCTTTACGGAGCTTATTTTATGTTATTTATTATTTATTCTACTACTGATAGTTGTATAAAGGTAGTAAATCTAGATGGAAATTGTGGCAGAACTTAAATTAACAGTGACACTATCGCGATTTATCGAAAAAGACTCTAAAATAGTTGGTTGTGTAGCGTGCAGTAGCTCTCGGCAAAAATTGAGTGAAATAATGGAACAACTTTTCGCTAGTAAGTGACTATATAATATACATACGTGTAGTAAACCGATCATTTATGAAATTCACTTAAATTAACTAAATTATATATTTTTCTTGCATTTTAGCTTTTATTTATTACTTGTCAAAGATTAGATGTCAAAGAATTTAGATTCGTCAATTTGACTTACCTGCTTCAGTAGCGTATCGGATGTTTGTGGTAATAAATACTTATTATAACTTATCTATTTTTATTAGAATTATATATTTTTATAACAATTTTAATAACTACCAACATTTATTCACAACGTAAAATAAAACAACAAACTATTGAGTCTACCCCACGTCTACCCTACATCATAGTTTTACATTTTTTAAATAAAATTAGAACGACACTGATAAACCGGAATTTAAGTCGGCCATATTTGAGGCCCATCGCGGTGTACCTAAGATTTTTGGTATGCTCCTTCCTTAGTCTTCTTATTCAAAGGATTAGAACCATGTCTCCTGAGCATTTTGTTTTTTGACACATGTCAACACATATGCCTCGGTTAATTTTTAAGAGAGAAATGCACTTGCCACAAACATTTTGCATTTTTTTTCAATTATCGTTATCTTTTGATGTTATTCTTTATAATGACAAGGTGGCTTTGGTGATTATTGTTGTATATGACTGAATATTGTTCCTAGTGCCAAAGATTGTTCAAAAGTCATTGATCTTGTTGAAGATGGCCGAAATGATGAATATTCGCTTGGTCTTTGAAGAAGAATGGGAACACAACACAATGCTTTGCAATTTAGCACTTAGTTACTATTTATCAAAATAATTAGTCTAACGTCAATTTTATGAATTATGTATAAATACTACCGTCTATCCGCGACTTCGTTCGCATCGAATTAATCATTTGTATTGGTGATGATAAAGCAAAGCAAGAATTTCCATTAACATACAAACTGGATAAAATTTTGTCACATTTATGTCAGCATGAGAAAAAACAATATGGCGATATTATTATATAACTTGGTAATATTTGAGGGGTTTTGGAATTTGACTTTCGAAAAACCTGTTTGCCAAAAATAAGCTTTTTACGTCAAGCAGTTTAAACAGAATCGTGATTAATTAATTACCCAACTTTTTGGAACGCTCTGTATGATTTTTTAAAAAATTTCAAACCGTTTTCCCGAAAGACTAACCGTTTTTTAAATAACAAATATTGTAATATTTGAGGGGTTTTCACCCTCTTGGAATACGAAAACCGTTTTCACACTTTTGGAATTTGAGATTCGAGAAACCCCTCCTTATCGAACATGTACACCCCACAATCAATCCATTTGCCAAAAATCAGCTTTAAACGTCAAGCAGTTTAAGCAGAATCGTAATTACTCAATGGTCATATTTTATGAAACACCCTGTATACATTTTTAAAAAATCTTAAAATATGTAAAACAACAAAATAAAATATACGTGTTTAAGAGTTTTTCCGAAAAACTCACCAGTTTTTAAATAAAAAATATTCTAATATTTGGGGGGTGGTTTCACCCCCTTAGAATTCGAGTTTAGAAAAATCCCTTCTTATCGAACCTCTACACCAAGTCAATCCGTTTTCCAAAAATCAGCTTTTTACGTCAAGTTCTTTAAGCAGGATCGTGACTAATCAATGACCAGATTTTTCGAAACACTCTGTATACATTTTGAAAAAATCTTAAATATGTAAAAAACAAAATAAAATATACGTGTTTAAGGGTTTTTTGGGAAACTTGACCGTTTTTTAAATAAAAATATCGTAATATTTGAAGGGTGGTTTCTCCCCTTGGAACTGGAATTTCGAAAAATCGCTTCTTATCGAAACTCTACACCCTAGAATCAACCTGTATGCCAAAATTGAGTTTCTTACGTTGAGTGGTTTGAGCAGGATCCTGATTAATCAGTGAGTCAGTCACTTAAGGATTTTATATATTAATATAGATTTATATGGAGCAACATCATATATAGTCTGTCCAACGAGAAGATCCTTGACAGTGATAGATGTGTCTGTCATTTTAATTTCAAAGTAGTTTATTTTATTTTACAAAGAAATAAGTTGGTACAACTGGAACGCATAGCAGGATATATTTAAAATTTGATTGACAAGATGACAAGTGATTACTTCAAAATATTGTGAAAAAAAACTGTATAAAACTGAAAAAATGTAATCGAGTTATTTTATTTAATAAAAACGGTATGTGTTAATACAAAACAAACAAGAACAAGACACTACATACCAAAAAAATATAAAAAAGAACTATTATTTACTTTCAAGCTTTATGAAACTACCCGCATTTATGATTATATTTATCAATATAACTTATGTACAAATACAAATTTGTAATATTCCACAGGAATAAATAAAACAACATAGGTAAATAAAACAAACTATTTTAGTAATAATAACACCTACCAAATTTTATACCTTACAGGTTGATTAATTAACTTTAATCTTAATTTTTTTAAACCAGTACCTTTTGACATTATTTTTCTGCAGTACTAAAATCCATTATTACCTCTCGTGTGATGTCGATATTTTACAGCTACTCCAGTTTTTAGTATGTGTTTAGTTTGATCCTTCTACTATATACGGAGATGCACTTATCTACGACGAAATGGCATACAAACTTTATCGATGGCAACTTCATTGGTGTATAAGACTTTCTGCCTGGGCAGCGAGTATTAACCATAAACTGTGCTCTGGGTTTACAGTTAATTTTCACTCGATTTTTCCTCCACTTGACTTCAAAAGACACAAAACACACGTAATAATACGAATCAAAATGCATCATCTTCCAAAACGCAGGGTATTGCGTAAGGTATTAAACAAAAGTTGACAGAAAATTATAACCTATAATTTGGCAAGACTTTGACAAGCGTCAAAAATGACAAAAATCTAGAGGCGAGTTCATACGCATCGGTGTCCGTTTGTCGTTCATCGTTCCGTCAAACCAATAAAAATGAAATACGATCTGTCATTTTTTAAATAAACCAATAAAACTGGTTAAAAACAACAAGACACGACGCATGACGGATTTATATTTAAACCCATCCATAGATAACTTAAAAATTATTAGAAACTTTTTTTAGTAAAATAAATAGATTGGTATGGGACGTCATCTGCTTTTCTTCTGTCATCGTCTGTCGAAATCTTACCTGAGAAAAAAAACAGAGTATATTATTTTTATTATAACATACTTAATACTAATTTCTTTCGTAGACCATTTGAGAATGGAAGCCATAGATCTGAAGACATGCATATCAAAACCGAGGCGGTAGGCCTTCGAACTTACATCACAGTGACGCAGCCAAAGACTATTTTGACAGTTAGGAATCTCACTTCTAGGCTTGTAATCACACTTCCAGAGGTATGTTTCGCACAAAATAACTTCCAAGATAGTAAATTGGTAAGTTTGTTTAGAGTAAAATACATTTTTTTTGAAAATACATTTTGCTTCACCATATATCTTAATTAAGCTGTGTGTTCTTTGAATCTAATTGTTACAGACATGTATAAACGTTTGACTAACCATATACATTGTTTTGTTTTGACCCAACATATACAAACAAAAAAATGTAAACGACCCGTTTGTTTATTTACAAATTACTAATTATAATTTATAATCCTTTTTCATTATTTGACTTCATGTTATATTTATCTATACAGAGTCCGGCAATAGTGCGTCGGGCATCTGTAGCTCCTAGAATAAAAAAAACTTGTGATTTTTGTTATAAGTGCAGACCTAAAGTATGTATTTCAAGAATATATTTCGACTTCTATAGGGTGGCTCAAAAACATGTGAGTGGATCGGGATGATTTTTTAAATGGAACACCTTGTATATTATTGCATTTTTGGCTTCTCTTCAGATCACTTTACATAATCCTAATATATGAGTAAATATATTTCGATAGGTTTAGAGATATTAATAAATAAATAAAAAAAAAATATATTTTTCAACCTTTTTAAAAAAAAAGTATTAAAAATACAAGAACTGTCCTGAAACCAAAACTATATTAGGTATTTGCTTTAGATGGTCTGTACTTAAATTGCTATAAATATGGTAATCGTAAATCATACAGGATGTTCAAAATTCTACGCCAAACTTTTTAAAATATAAAATAATTTTTCTTCGTTTTTTTTTAAACGGAACACCCTGTATATTATTATTTTAATAGATAGAGAATTAAAAAATTAACATTTTTTGTATTTAGAGATCAACATTTTCAGCCACTCTGTAAAAGTTAAAATATTTTCCTGATGTACAGGGTGGTCGAAATCGGTATGTTTTAACAGAGAAAACCTATTTCCTGACTAGATAAAGCAAAACCGACATAGATGTCATGGGCTCGAATTCAGAGACGTGTTTAATGGCGTAATCCACCTGTTGATATTTTCACTGCCAACTGAGATACGGGGAAAATAGATACGGAAAAAATTATATTTTTTATTATTTCTGACAACAAGAGCAAACATAGAAAAAACTAACTACGCCTCTGGATTGTGCTTAAAAAAGCACTTAAGGAACGTTTTTACAGAATTTTATTATTCCGCGAAATAAAAAAGTTATGGACAATTTTCAAAATGGCAAAAAATTCAATCTGAGTTGGCAGTGAAAATATCATCATGTCATTAAACATATCTCAGAAATCTAGCCCATGACATCTATGTCGGTTTTGCTCCATCTAGTCAAGAAATAGGGTTTCTCTGTTAAAACAGACCAATTTCGACCACCCTGTATATCCTCGTACATACTTAAAGTTTGTACTTAAACAAAATTCCCAAGCTTTTTATTCTAGGAGCTACAGATGCCCGACGCATTATTGCCGGACCCTGTAAGAATCCAGACACTTGTGAAAGATTGTGTTATTTTTTGAGTATTTGTATGATTAAAGGTTGATTCTCATCATACCTTCCGTTTCTGTTCCATATCCATTTCATATCCGTTCCGTATTTTTTATTTTGTATTGACGCTATAGGTAAGCTTCCGTTCCGTATCAGTTATATACTTTTTGTTGTACAGTTTAGATCATTACGAAAGTTTTATTTTAAAAATTTGTATCTTTTGAAAAAGGTAATAGATTTAATTAAGAAGTGAAAGAATAAACAAATATCAGCAAAATGTTAACACAGTTGGTACAAATGTAAGAACTTGAACGGAAACGGAACGGATAGTGTGCATTGTCCTCTATTCGTTTACATGAAATAATATTTTATGTAAACGGAAGGGAGCTGATACGGAAGGTATAGTGAGAATCAACCTTAAATATGGTATTTGTCTGAGTAAATTTCCCTCTTGTACCGAAACAGATTTTTAAACAAACAACATATTTCTCTTAACAGGAATACCACAAATTAGAGAACACCCGCTTCTTCCTCGTCCTCCAATCAATCGACGAGCACCAGCCAGCCTACGGCGTGGTCTTCTCCCGCCAGGACCAGCTCCACATCGACCTCTTCGTCTTCTTCTCCGTCTTTTTCTCGGTGTTCTTCCTCTTCCTGGCCGCGTGCGTGGTGGCGTGGAAGGCCAAACAGGCGGCCGACGCGCGTCACGCCCGGCGCAGGCACGTAGTGGAGATGCTACACATGGCCAAGAGGCCGTTCGCCGGTGTGACGTTGGATCTGACGACGAAAACGCCGACGGGCAAGAGGAACGCGCATCACGAGGTCAGGCCGGTGGCTATCGAACCAACAGGTGAGTGGCAGACAAAAGCAAACTAATAAATAGTGATAACTATGTAGTGTAGAGTTAAGGAGAAATATCTTCGTGCGTTAAAAAATGGGGGAAGACTTAAGGTGGCGCTGTTGTAGCAAAAACCTAAAATTTAAAATATGCACCGAAAATTTTTTTAACGGGAAATGGTTCAAAAGAGATAAATATTTGACGTGATGGCGCGGGTTTCAAAAAAATGCAAATTTTATTTTCATGTCACATGAAATAAATGATCGATTTTTATTCAGCAGCGATATACTGGGCCTCTAATATATAAAAATAATTGTTTTGTATTCTAAAAAATAAAAACAAAGCTTTTTTGGGTTTGGTTATGTTACTTTTATTCTCTTATCTGTGGTTACTTTTCATTTTTTAGATTTATGCGTCATTAGCGCCACTGTGGTTATTATTCTTCCCATTTTTGTCACCACTTTTTCAAATAGTCCCATAAGAGATATTTCTCCTCATATCTACACTCCATAGTGATAACATATTATCAAGACCAAATACATCTAAGAAAAGGGGGGACACAGCATTCTATTCATAAAGCACCATTTGTTTACAATCATACATACTTGAACACTTTTATATAAGTTAAAAAAGATAGGTGCATAAATATGACAACGCTGTTTTTTTATCAACAATCGTAAAAAGTAATTTTAGATTGTTTTTTGATTTATGATGTATAATGTAATGTAATATAATAATTATTTCTCTATTATAGTATTAGTACGTGAGAATTCAAGATGTGATTATGTTATTATATATGCACGCCACTTATACTAAGGGCTGGTTAGGTTACTTTTGGGTCGAGATTTCCGTATGTAAAAAGAGTCAATGCGTTTATAATGTACTGAACAAAGAGAGAAGAGTAAACACGTTGCCAAACGTTTAAAATAAACTGAGAAACTGTGCACATTACTAAGAGACGTGGGAGGGGATATGCAGATTCGTCGCGATCGACCGGTCGACCCAATCAGTACTTAAAATTCTGGGGAAAGGTGTACATCATGCGTTCATCTTAGAATAAACTATAGGGAAAACACCGTATGATCGAAAAAAAAAAGGCATCAGCGATGACTATGAAATGAAGATCGCTGTTATTTTATATGTAAATTTATATGGGAAATGTCATCGATCGTCATTTCCCAGCCAACTGGGCGCCATTTTTTTTTTCGATCATACGGTGTTTTCCCTATAGTTTGTAAATTTTTAAGTGCAAGTTAGAAACACTTACATTTTTGGTAAACTAAACAACTAACTAAACAAGTGGAATTGAGTTGGTGTTCGACAGTAGTCGCGCTATTAGAACTCAAAAATCGATATCTAGAAATTCATTAGAAATAATTGATTGTAGTTTTTTCCCAAAATTTTCTTAATATTTCTGCTATATTTTTTTCTCAAACAGTATGTGTAATCTTTATAAATAAAAAAGTTACATCTGATTGCTGACAATTGCTATGCACTAAAAGTAAATGGATGGGGTTTTTAAAATGCTTGCATGAAAAAAAACAAGCCTATCGAATTTTTCTTATTTAAACATCTTGTAAAAGACCCGAACTTCAAAATAGAAAAAGTTTCGATATAAAAAAGTAGTTCTTGAGTTATCGCGTATTACGTGTTAAAAAGTTGAGTTAAATTATCGCGATTACTGACGTTTTCTCGTTGTAAATTATATGGACACCCTAACGATATCATTATAATTCAATTTCAAATGCTCAGAAACATATCTAATGATTTTATCTTTTTATAGAGATAAATAAATTTTAGAAAATATTTTATACAAAATTAATGGGAAAAGTCACGAAATTCTGTGGAATTTTGAATTAGCAATCAAGGAAATTTACAAAACTTCATCTGGCAACACTGATACAGAAGCGACAGTAAGCTTCAGCTCTTTTGAAGATGTGTCTCAAATTCTTTGAGCTTGAAATCACTTAATTTGCCAATTAAACTTACTTGTATACTAAAAAAAATGGTCTTGAATTTCATTGAAAGAAATTTTTAAATACACTGAAAAAAATGATTTCCTTATAATGTATAGCTGTTATTTTATTGTGACTGATTTTTTTTACTAAATGCAGTAAACGCAGTAAAAAGACCAAATAAAAGAAAATAACTTTCATTTTTGTAACTGTTATTAGGAGAAAACAAGGTTTTTTTAACGCAGCTTTACTATATAATTGAAAAAAAAAATAGTTTGTTGCTTTTTTCATAATGTTTTCACACAGTAGATATGCACAAATTAAACACGCTTACACAAAAATAAAAAAAGAAAAAAGAAATAAATAGAAAAATAAATAAAAAATAATAAGAAAAAAAATTAAAAATAAAAAAATAATGAATCAAATATTTAAAAAAAAAAGAAAAAATCCACGAAAAAATTACACGTGCCACTTTTGTATGGTTAGGTATAACAAGAGGTTTTAGTTAGGTAATGCTGTGTTCTTTATATGTATAGCTGTTATTTTATTGTGACTGATTTTTTTTACTAAATACAGTAAACGCAATTTCAAAAAAATGCAATTTAGAATAAAAAAATAATATCAATAAAAAGACGAAATAAAAGAAAATAACTTTCATTTTTGTAACTGTTATTAGGAGAAAACAAGGTTTTTAAAGCAGCTTTACTATATAAAAAAAATAGTTTGTTGCTTTTTTCATAATGTTTTTCACACAGTAGATATGCACAAATAAAACACGCTTACACAAAAATAAAGAAAAAGAAAAAAGGAAAAAAGAAATAAATAGAAAAATAAATAAAAAGTAAGAAAAAAAAATAAAAATAAGAAAATAATGAACCTAAAATTAAAAAAAGAAAAAATCCACGAAAAAATTTCATGTGCCGCTTTTGTATGGTTAGGTATAACTAGAGGTTTTAGTTAGGTAAAAAATAGTTATCTTTTCGAAAAAAAAGTGCTTTTAAAAATAAGCGGTTTGCGATCGTGATTTTACTTTACTTGATAGGGGAAGGCGTACCGGAAAAATGTGGCAACGCCGCAACAGCAAACCGTCGCATTTCTTTCACTCCGACTTAATAAGATCCCTATGCGATTTACTTCCGCACATGTAAATACCGACCCAAAAGTAAGAGTTGCCAGCACGGTATGATTGAAAATACGTATATGCGAGATGATAACCGTTTCTCTTTTGTGATTGATATTTTTTTTTTATTTCTTATATTTCAGGTGACAACGTGGCAGCTGTGGCCACCGTATTCGTAAGCCTGCCCGGAGGACAGAATCTCCCAGTCAAACTGGCTCTAGCCTCGTCGCTCATATTATTGGCTAGGCAGTTTCCGACAAGCAGTCGAATGTTTTTGAGAAGGCGATCTATACACGCAGCTCCCCCCACTTAAGTCGATTAATGTTCTCTCTACCTGTATATTGTCTATATGTATTATTTAAGTATTTGTTATTATTTATAAGAAATATACATTCCTGTTTTTTAATCACTGTTTTTTTATTAAATTATCTTAATTTCGGAACAATAAAGACAGCGCTGCTGCAAAAGTTATTATTAAACCCCTATTTCCCCTTTTAGGTAACCACTTCTTCAAAGTCCCATAAGAGATGATTTTCCTTACTTCTACCCTCCAAAGTCGCGTCTTATATTATTTTACAAGAAATAAATCACAATTCTATGCTTAACATTATTTTTATTCATGTAAATAAAGCATTTATAATAAATATAAAAGTGAATTTTCGTAAAAATGCAAATATGTATTTCTTTAGCTCTAAAAGAAAATTTCTCTTATTTTATTGGCGCACCGCTCATCGTTTTACTACGTATCTTATCGCCATTTTTCGTTAACAAATTGTTCCCTTGCCATTGCGCAAAACATTCAGTGTTGGTCTTCAAATCCACCTGCAATTTTTCCCACACTTTCTTTTTTGGATTTAAAACGGCGTCAGGGGTGCCACTCTCGTAGTTCTCCACAAAAACTCGTTCTCCTGGAGCTGAATTTTCAGGCGGCAAAAGTGGTTCTACTTGTTTCGGATCGTCGCTGAATTTAATTTAGTTATTATTGCACGGAATACACTAGAGAACATAGTTGCCAGGTTTAAGGAATTTTCCCTAAATCTAGGGAAAATCAAGGTTGTGAAGGAAAGAAAAATGAAGAAAAAGGATGTATAAGGAAATTTGAAGAGATAAATAAATTTTAGAAAATGTTTTATACAAAATTAATGGGAAAAGTCACGAAACTCTGTGGAATTTTGAATTAGCAATCAAGGAAATTTACAAAACTTCATCTGGCAACACTGATACAGAAGCGACAATAAGCTTCAGCTCTTTTGAAGATGTGTCTCAAATTCTTTGAGCTTGAAGTCACTTAATTTGCCAATTAAACTTACTTGTATACTAAAAAAAATGGTCTTGAATTTCATTGAAAGAAATTTTTAAATACACTGAAAAAAATGATTTCCTTATAATGTATAGCTGTTATTTTATTGTGACTGATTTTTTTTTACTAAATGCAGTAAACGCAGTAAAAAGACCAAATAAAAGAAAATAACTTTCATTTTTGTAACTGTTATTAGGAGAAAACAAGGTTTTTTTAACGCAGCTTTACTATATAATTGAAAAAAAAATAGTTTGTTGCTTTTTTCATAATGTTTTTCACACAGTAGATATGCACAAATTAAACACGTTTACACAAAAATAAAAAAAGAAAAAAGAAATAAATAGAAAAATAAAAAATAATAAGAAAAAAAATTAAAAATAAAAAAAATAATGAATCAAATATTAAAAAAAAAGAAAAAATCCACGAAAAAATTACACGTGCCACTTTTGTATGGTTAGGTATAACAAGAGGTTTTAGTTAGGTAATTTTGTGTTCTTTATATGTATAGCTGTTATTTTATTGTGACTGTTTTTTTTTACTAAATGCAGTAAACGCAATTTCAAAAAAATGCAATTTAGAATAAAAAAATAATATCAATAAAAAGACGAAATAAAAGAAAATAACTTTCATTTTTGTAACTGTTATTAGGAGAAAACAAGGTTTTTAAAGCAACATTACTATATAATTGAAAAAAAATAGTTTGTTGCTTTTTTCATAATGTTTTTCACACAGTAGATATGCACAAATAAAACACTCTTACACATAAATAAAGAAAAAGAAAAAAGGGAAAAAAATAAATAGAAAAATAAATAAAAAATAAGAAAAAAAAATAAAAATAAGAAAATAATGAATCAAAAATTAAAAAAAAAAAGAAAAAATCAGTGCCGCTTTTGTATGGTTAGGTATAACTAGAGGTTTTAGTTAGGTAATTCTGTGTTACTCGTATGATTGACTGATAGAGTTACTTACGTAGATGCACATAAAACCATTCCTTGGCTCTCTACACCTCTCATTTTTGCGGCTTTTAAATTACACAACACCACAACTAGTCTATTTTGCATTTCTTCTATAGGCACAAAATTGACTAATCCACTAACTATGGTCCTGGGTTTCTCTTCACCTAAAAAAAAACATTATAAAAAAATTAAAATTAAAAAACTAATTTATGTTTACCTAGATCAATTTTTTCAACATATAGTGCGTCTGCATCTGGATGTCTTGACACTTCTACTATCCTTCCAATTCTTATATCTAGCCTACTTGGTGTTAGTTCATCAGCCACATTACTGCTTGTCTGATTAGAATTTTCTATAAAATATTCATCATAAGTATATATTTCCAAAAAATAAAATAAAATAAATCCTTACTTTGCTTTCCAGGTTGTGGATAGGCTTGTTCTGCCAATTTCTTCAGCTCAGGTTTCTCAAAATCCTTTATAATCGGTGCTAATAATTTATTGATTTGTATTTCCACAGCTGCCTTTAAGTCAGCTGGATGTATTTCCTATTTATCAAAAAAGTTAATAAAAAGACGTTGAAACTATTAACAAAATAAATTTCTAATAAATAAAAATTTTAATTAAAAAACGTTTCTAATCTGACATTTTTGTTATTTACAATTTTATCCTTAGTAGGTTTTTGAAAAATGTGAAATTAAATCTGGGTTCTGTTTAGCTTTAAATATTGATTGAAATAAATGTACACCTGTTTGGCAAAGGCTTGTTCTAGTTTTTCAAAATTATCAAACTTAATATCTCCACCATTCTCCGGATTTCTGTTCACTGTAAAACTGTCACCTTCTTGAAACAATGGAAAAATTACATGCTTAACAAACGAAAGCACTCCATTATTTTCTATGTTTCCTGGTTCACAGAAAGCTCTCTTAAGCTTCTTTTTGACATTGGATGGGGAATCTAATAAATCTATTTTACTTTCCTCTTCAGAGGAAGACATTTTTGCTCCAGTAAGCCCTGGAACTACAAAATATATACTTAGTAATCAAAATTTCATTTTTTTTATAATTTTATTACCCATAGGGTTCATTAAATGAGACCTTTTGGTATATCCTAGTTGTGGCAAATATTTTTCAGAGAAAGTAAATATTTTTCTTTGATCTACACCACCAAACTGAGCATCGACTTTTAAGTATTCCTCATCTAATGCTTGAAGACCTACATAAAAGAAAACCATAACAATATAGAAACATATAAATTAATTAATAATACTTTACCAGGATATAATAAACCACTCAATAACGGATGCTCTATCTGCTTTACTACTTCTGCTCCAGCTTTTTTTGCATCATGTTCAGTAACTACAGAAGTTAGTCTAAAAAAAACATACTTACAAAAATAACACCAAATTCTTACAGAACTCCTATCCTACCTGTATACATCAAGGGTGTATTCTTTAGAGAGCTGATAATCTGTACCTTTAACAAACTTAAGTTTTTCTAGAGGTACTCCGATACTGCGCAACATAGCTTTAATGCTATGTTCATAGTATTGAGTCCTCAAAGCCAGAAGCTCCCAAGGTGCTTTCATATTATCTAGATAAGCGTGCAGATCTGCAAACAGAATTGTCACCTGAAACAGAATATTTTATATTTTATTTATAAATATAGGAAACTAATATACCTCTGCTCCTGCTCTTAAGAAATCTGCTACTTTTGACATTGGGACAAAATAAGCAACGTGAGGTTTCCCAGTGGTTGCTGTTCCCCAATATATTTTTAGGTCTCTTTCTTTCAATATAGTTTTAATTTTATCCTCCCCCAAAACTTCCTGTAAGTTTCTAGAAATTAAAGTGTATTTTTCTTCGGGGGTAAGTTTCCTTGGACACCCTTCCATGGTAAATCTAGAAGCAAAATGATAGTGAACCATATGGATACAATTAAAATAAAAGTTTCAGTTTTTATCTATACATATTACGAAATATAGTAAAATATTACATTTTAATTATCTTACTTTGTTGATTTTACCTTTATTTTATTAAATATTTAAAGAAAATCCCTTTAATATTTAAAGGTTAAGCAACACAAAACTAAGGTTAAGTGGAAAGATCTGTCAAATTCTTCTTTTGAAATTTTAAGACCATTTGACATTAATCATATATAAAAGGCCAATCATATATATATATATGACAGGACAATCATATAATGAAAAATGAACACAGCCTTATTATAGATTTTGTTGCTATATTATAGCATATGACATTATAAATCTTGATCACAATTATATTATATGATCTGATTCAAAAATCTATGGCAACTGTACATTTAATTTAAATTTACAAATTTAAAACGAATTTAAAAATTATGGATAATCTGTTTAAAAGGTATTTTAATTATGTAAAATAAGACTACACCTTAGACTCTTTGAGAATAATATATTACTTAATTAACCTTGCCACAACGTTGCAAGTCATTACCCAAAAATGAAAAGAAACACAATTTTTTTCATTTGGAAATGATATTAAATAATTAAAAGGGGATAAATCAATGTTATCGTCCAATACGAACAAGGTGGTGCGCCTGTAGTAAAGCGTAAGCATTAACAGGCAAAATCCACAAATCATCTGTATCCCATATTTTGATAAAAGGAAATATAATACTGTAGGGGAATTCTTTTGATCTTTCTGTTCCTTTAATTTCTCATCGATAGCGTTTATTCTTCTTTGCAATTTAGAATATTTAGCAAATTGATCTACCATACTGTGCTGTCTCTGATCTGCAATTAAAACACTTCTTTGTTGTAATAACTCCCTTTCCTCTTTTGTGGCCTTTGAATTCCATTTTAGGAACTACAAGTTAAAAAACAGTAATTTATAATAAAAGTATTTAAACTGTTTATACCTTATTGCTTATTGTTGAAGGATGGGCACTCAAAAAACTTAAAGCTGTTGAAATAATTAATAAATAAACCATTTTACTTTTTGACAAAGTTCAACTTATAGGTTATTAATCATTGATATTTTGAGAATTAATTTTGCTTAATATTATACAAGAAAGCGATGTTTCACCATAAAATCTTTTCACCTTTTAATTCTTGGTTTAAATCACAGGTTTAAATCGTTTTTGAAATACACCTATATTATTACTATTTTACACCTATTATTTTTGTATTTATTTTTATTTTTTTAATTAGCCCCCTCTATACGAAGCTCATACAAATTAACTTAGGGCGATCTACAAAAAAGATATCTGTAATTTTGGACACATGACACATCTGGTGGAAATATCTAGAGGGAGCTAATTAAATTACTTTTACCGCCAACAAATTGAGATTTGAATTTCTATTGATTTATTCATTTTTAAATTATTTTTCCTATTTCTGTCTTAGATAAATTAAAATGTAGGACAAGCTATTATGCACGTTTTTTTAATTCCACATATCGCCAAGATTAATAGAAATAGGTAGATTAAGTAAGTATATCTTAGAAAAAACAATTTTTCTGTTTTATAAAAATTACCATTTATCTTTCAGACAAAATTATAAAAATTAAATAGTATGGTTTTGGTATGGTCAAGGTCATAAATATTTAAATCCTGAAATCCAATGCACACTGTAATCCATGTATTACTGCTGGAAAATTAATTTTGATATTTGTCATAAAAAGAACGTTTTTTTGTTTATTTTGTACACGTCCACTCACATACATATTTCATGGATCGATTTGGGTTGTTTTGTAGGGAAAAATCATTAATCTATGTCTATTCAGGTCACTTTTAGTCATCGCTTTTTGTTATTATTCATTAAAAGATAATTTAGAAGACTAAAACCTGTGCGACCTGACCTTGGCATGGCTCTGACCGTACCTTATAACTATTTTCACCCTTCATTAAAAATAAAAGAGCGCGTCGTTCAGTCTGTTCGTCTCTATTAACAGTTACACAGAGATTCAAAATTATAATATATATTATGCAATTTTTTATCAGAATATAATGAGTAAATCAGAGGGACCAAAAACGTATTGTAAGTAATGGGACAGTCGAGTTCAAAAAACTTATTTTGCGCACTTTATACTTATGTTTTTTGTATATTATTTTGGACTTTGGTAATATTTGTAGTGCCTATATCTGATTTAGTACTGTTTCAGTATCCTCACAGTGCTCTGTATAGTGTCTAAATTGAGTTTCAAGCATTCTTCATAAACTATACAGGGTGTCGCTTAAATAAATCGAAGTATCTCAAGGGGTAGTGGACCTGGACATAGAAACATATTTTCTCTATACCATTTTTAAAATAAATTCAAAATAACCGAATTATTTAACCTTAAAAATTTAAAGAAATTGCTTACATTTTGAGAGCCACCGACAAGTAACAGGAAATCGGCCTTTTGATACCCTGTGTTGCCACATGTACACGAAAGTGTACACTTTTAATTGAATGCTCCAATGACTAAAGAATCCAAGGACAAATAACACCCAAAAGCAAATTGTGACGATGTCACCAAACAGTACCGTGGCACATATTTTTCTTAATCTAGCTGTTTGAAGAGATATTTATATTTTTTGATAAATGTTTTGACTACGCCTATGGTGTATACGTTGGTATCATACTAATTAATTACGAAAAAACCGTATTAAAATGTTAACAAAAGGTACAAAACTAGTATCGACGTATAGGACACATCAAGTACATATAATATCAGAAAAATAATTATCGAATTCAATAAGAAAACTAAGAAAACGCTAAAAAGGTGAAGCGGAATGTTTATTTACCTATGAAACGTAACTCCTGGCTCTTTCTTATCGCTGCTGCTTTTACACTGGAAAGCTGAACAACTAATCACCATTGTAATAAAGTTTATACAAAGTTCACTACACACAAACTATTAAAAATTTAGTCATTGGATTGCTGAAACTTTTAACCAAGTCTTTCGTTTGGACCGCGCTTAATGTGGGTGGTGGCAACATTGCATTGCAAACCTGCGGCATTAAAAAGTTTTTTTTTTAATTTTTAGGAAATTGTCAGAAAAAAATAAAAATGTTCTTTTGTAAAAAATCTACTATAATAGTATATTTCGATACCTAGCGAATTATTATTTTTGCAGAATATTTCATACAAAATGTACCTATTAAGTGTGCATTGTTAAAAAAGTTGATAATTCGATAATGTAACATGTTTTGAGTCAAAAATTATAAGGGTTGAGTATTCAGATAACACTCATCGTAGCTATAAATTAATTTTATGATAATTTTTTTGTCTCTCAGAGTAACATGACAACGAATGTTATTTTATCAGTGTAATTGTTGGAATCGTCTGTGTATATGTCTATAGAAAATTTAGCGCCTAGCAACCATATTGAATACTTCCTAATGATTACATTATTTATCTATATATCACTTTACCGATAGGTAGGTTGTTTTTCCAGATATCCGGCACATTTCAACTTGTCAATATCACTACCGATAAACAAGATATTATTGTTATATATAGTCTTTTTAAATTAATCTAATTATAGTGACAAAATAGTCACCCCCAGGGGGTCCTTGTTCTATACTATATTCCTAATTAGTTTTTTTCATTTATTTATTGCGGGAAAATTGGGTGTATATATCCGGTCGATAATATTACTATAGCGCGACGAAAAATTCCGCATTCAACCACATTATTTTTCAGAAGAGAATAAAATAAATTGCTGTTCGTGAGGTAGTTTTGTGCTTTATAATATTAGTGTGATATTAATCAAAAGCCTTTAAGAATAGCAAGTAAGTAATTGAATCATTTGTTCAGAGAAATTAGGATTTTTTATACTATTTTGTGGTAGTTTATATATTATTACTGATTTCTGGGATTTCCAGGCTTTGGGCCTTTAAAAAATTAGTTGGTGTATTAAAAAATAAATATAATGCCAATTATAAAATTATAGTTATAACGGTTTAATTTTTCAAAATTATTTGATTTCATAGATTTTGTTTTTTTTTGTATAGGGTGTCCTAAATTTTTATATAGGGTGTCCCTTAAAGAAGTCTTTTGTGTGCTTTTAACTGGTAGTAAATTTATAGGTACAAAAGATAGGCTCATGAGCTTTGTATCGCAATTTTTTTGAGAATTTTTCATCTTCAGTGAAATTAAAAAAAAAATAGATTCACAGGTTCATTCCCTGGAATTTGTTGACAAGGTATCAAAGCCATGCAATGTTGCCACCTCCTACAAAATTTACAGTAATTTTAATTTTCTACACAGTAAATTACGAAAAGTAATTTTACAAGTTAAGTGTATACTTTCTGGTTCATGTGGCAACACAGGGTGTCCAATAATCTGCCAGGCTGTGTTGCCACATTGTTGGGTAATGCCGGCGGTTCTCAAAATGTAAGCACTATTTTCTAAAATTTTCAAAATAATTCGGTTATTTTCAATTTATTTTAAAAATGATAAATAAAAAACATGATTCTTATAACGAAATCTGCCGCTCTTTAGAATATTTGCACTTATTTAAGAGATACCCTGTATATTCACAAACTTCAATCTAAAAAATGGACGAAACGTCTTAAAAAATCCAAAACTACAAGTTTAAATTACCCTATACAGGGTGTCCCAGAATTAAGTGCAAGTATTTTAACTGGTAGTATAGAACCCCAAAAACACGCCTATGAGATTTTTTTCGCGCAAAAAAAAATTGAAAATTCGAAATTTTTTGAAATTTATTTTTAGTTTTTAGTTAAAAAACATAATTTCTTGATAATATGACAACATAGGTATTAGATTAAATTTACAAGAAAGGAAATCTAGAAAAGATCCAGTGGTTCTCAAAATTTTAGCAAAAAATATTTTTTTTTTGAAAATTTTCAAAGTAAAATAACTCCGTTATTTTATTTGGACTTATTTGAAAAACGGTAAAGAGAAAATATGTCTTTTATCGAGATCTAGCATCCCTTAAAATACTTGCCCGTTTTTTTGGGACACCCTGTATATTAACAATACTTTTAAATCTCTGCTAGGGAGAATTTTGTATAGATTTGTATAATATGAGGATTAACAAAAAAAAATTAAGCAAACAATATTTTTTTTATATTTTCAATTAAAACATATTAAAAACAAAAAATATCGCAAAATAAACCACAAAATCACGTGAAAATTTCAGCAGGCTGCAATATAATACATAATTTACAATTTGTTGTAAAGTGGTTCAGCGAACCAGATGTTGACTTGGAACTTTCTTAAAATGTACCGGTGGTTAGTCATCCTCTGCCAATTATTGTGTTAACTAATCTGAGACGGTATCATTGTTTTCTATCATCGCGATATAGAACCTCTCCCAAAAATACATGTTCTAATAATCTTCAAGGGCCCCGATTATCAGTTTTTACTATTGTTACTCGTTGGTAAGATTTTAGTCTGTTGTACACTCTAGCAAAATTATAATATCTATTGAATTCTGCGAATATAGATCTAAGAAAGTTAAATAAAAAGTGTTTAAATTGTTTTTGGTACTACTTTCAGTATGCCGGTACGACCGCAAAGTGCTACGTCAAGACAAGAAGCAGAAATGGCAGCAAAAAGCTTGAGGGAACTTAACGCTACCGGAAACTCTGCAGATCCTGTACAAAGATTGAGGCTGTTGTGTCTGTCCAGAGGAGCTACAGGAATTTTAGGACTAGGTAAAAATATATGCTTTAAAATTTATTTACTATACAGGGTGTCTCCTAAATAAGTGCTAACATCGACAGGCTTAAAGGCGACTATTGCCATTTTTCGACAATTTAAGGAATTTTAGTATGACCGAAAAAAACGGCGTCAAAGACGTCTAGAGTTTGACCTGGCCAAAATTATTATCGATTGTCATCATTATCGATCCTATGGTATATTATAACTAAGACAGTATTAATTGTTAAAATAATTTATATTTTTTGAAAATTAAATAATTATGTTATGCAGGCAGATTATTCAGACGCATGGACGAAGATGGTAACAAAAATCTGAACAAAGAAGAATTTACATTGGGTTTGAGAGAGATAGGACTGGAAATATCAGATGAAGAGATTGATGATCTGTTCAAAAAATTCGACACAGATGGTAGTGGAAGCATAAACATGGAGGAATTTTTAGTCCATATTAGGGTAACACTTTTATTTATTTTCATTATTTTTTCTTATACAGGGTGATCCAGTTTGATGTATCTTGTCTGTCCAGTTTCTTATCTTATACACATCACAAATTTTTATTCTTTTTTTGTTAGCCCCCATTAAGCGAATCAAGAAAAAAAGTAATAGATGAGGCTTTCAACAAAATGGACAAAACTGGCGATGGTGAAATCACAGTTGAAGATTTAAAGAACGTCTACAACGTCAAATCACATCCTAGATATATTTCTGGAGAAGAATCTGAAGAAAGTATCCTGAAAAAGTTCCTAGGAAATTTTGAACAAGATGCGACAAGAGATGGCAAAGTAATAATTACTTTTTTTCAACAAAAACTAGAAAAAAAACTTTTTTATTCTTGTAGGTAACCAAAGAAGAATTTGTCAATTACTATAGCGGTATTAGCGCCTCTATCGACAACGACTGCTATTTTGATTTGATGATGCGCCAAGCATACAAGCTGTAAATCAATCCCAAGAAACTTTTACTGTATTTTTGATAAGAATAAAATGAAAATAATAAAAGTGTTGTGCTAAAATAAACCTATTTACCTGCTTTGTACTGTAAGTTTTAACCGATATATTTATTATTCATTATTTATTGATTTCTCCTGATGTTTGTATTGTATTTTATATGATTAATTTATATCTATATCTATCTTTGTGAGTTACAAATAAAAGTTAATAAACTAACTCTAAAAACTACTTTTTATTGAAAATATTAAACCAAAATACTGACAAAAAATATCTTAAAAGACAGCCTAAATAGTGACGTCACACTTAGGCACTAGTAATATTGCACCAATACACACAACTACAATAATTATTGTTCATATTATCGTTGATTGAAAAAATAAGAAGATGCGCAACCTTATGGGATACTTGTGTTACAAAACCTGTCCGAGATGTAGCTGGAGTTACAGTCAGTCTGTCCGAGAATTCCGAGATTTGTTTCCTGAGATTGATTGTTGATAGTCGTTTACAGCGCAGCGGATAAAAAAAACTGTACCGTAGTTCTGCTTTCAGTCGACAGAGTGAGTAGTTGCTTGAGACAGTGTTGCCAGACCTACTGATCAAACCGTAGATATACGGATTTTGGGTACGTTAATAAAACGGATTTTCTATAATTAAACAATTATTTAATATAATAATATATGATTAAAAAAAGAACGGCGTCAGAGTTAGCTTGGAAATGAAGATCACTGTTATTTCAAATGTAAAATATTATGGTAAATGTCAATAATCGTAATTTCCAAAATTCAATAATCGTACAATTCCGTAATTTTGTATTCAGTACCTACAAAAGAATTTTTATTTTTATTGTTTATTCTATGTTTAATATGAATAAATTTTCAATACATAAACGCGGATTTTTCATCCAAAGATATTTTCGTCAAACCTATTACAGATATTACACTTTTAATATGGCAACACTGTCGCTTTCAGATCCACACCGTGCTCCAATATGCCTTTGCTGGCCAAAATAGAGTAAATTAATTTTTATCTCTAATAAAAAATTAGAGATAAAAATAAGTATTTTATGCGTTGGCCGCAGAACGATTGGTGTCTCCACCGTACAGCACTTGAAACGTAAGGGGAAATCAAATCAGCCTTATCACGAATTTGCCCATTAGGTTGGGTATCTTCCCAATTCTTTCAATAAACGGTATTATGGTAGGAGAGACATCTCTTGGAACTTAAGGGGAAAATAAGGGTTCACTAAATGGCCAGAGTGGCACTAATAAGCAATAAGGGAGTTAATAAAAAAGAGTGGCTACACGCGCCTTCAAAAATAGCATTTATCTATCTCTTTTTAATTATTTCCTGTTATAATGTAGGACTTTTGCTACAGAAGCGCCATCTTAAGTGTTCCCTGTTTGATAAACAATTTTCAATACACAAAGATAATTCTACTTACCCCTACCCTCCATGGTTCATAAAAAATGCATGGCAAGATATGATACTAAATTAAAATTTAAAATTGCACAATAATTAACAAACTCTTTGAGTTTAAAAACTATTACAAAAAATACAAAATAATCTAAACAAACAATATAACAAATCTAATTTTTAGGTATTCTAGTATTGCAATTGCCATGTAACACAACTATGGAGTGATTGCACTGGAAATAATGCTTGAAAATATCACTGTATCCGTGATCCTTCCACCAAGTACACAGCTGTCGGTTAAACCCGCAGTTCAATGTCTGGATGAGATCCGGATGTTCATAACCTAATAACGTGTAGAAATCTTGATCTCCAAGATGTCCACGGAACCTGTATTTCTCTGTCATATTTTTAATGCTTTCTCTTGAGATCATTTGTAAGTATTGCTTTGATTCTCTTTGTTTCTCGAAATCAATCAAGACCACTCCACTGTTATAACCCTGGAAGCCATGAGGATGTATTCCTTCAGTAATACTGTTATCACAATAATAATCTCCGAAGGTAGTGTTATGTTTTAATTTGTACATATGTAAAATATGTCGGTAAACTGGAGTTAATTCTGGAGCCAACCCATAGAGAGCGGTAGGTTTAAATCTATTAACAAAAAACATATTTTAGTAATATAAATTATTATAAGTTTAATATATTTTTTACCTGTCAAATTCATCAAACAGCAAAGCAATATCTTTCTTAAAATATAAATCACAGTCTAGTAGGATGCCTCTCTTCTGGGAAGACGGGGCAATCCTATAAAGTCCTAAGGATATATAAAATAGTGCATCACTAAAATATGTTCCTATAAAAACAATAAGTATATAATTTAATAAATTTATTAGTATATAATTAATTTACCTGGCCTAGAGCTAAAAAATGGAGTCATAACATTAACAATATCAGACAGTTTCGTCGAACAATCTTGTACATTATAAAATGTATAAACCAAACTTTTATTTAAACTGTATACCACTTCGGATAGTTTATATTTAGCAATCGTCTTAGACTTTTCATCTACTATAATATGAAACTTTAAAGGCACAGTAGATACGTTTAAGAGATTCGATATGAGATTCTGGAATTTGAAGGTGAGCGTGGATTTGTTTGTGACCTTTGTAAAAATGAGCCAGACATTGTAATCAACATTACTATGTTCTTTGGAGGGCTCGAATAGAACGTCCGATATTTTTAACTGTTCTGTTTCAAGTCTTCTGGTTATCACAACGAAATATAGCAGAAAACAGACGATAACAAATACAAACGAGTTCAGTAAATAAAACCTGCTGGATGCCCTCATCGTATTGCATGGTAATTCTTCGTTTCCTTTGAATGCATCAAAGTAAAAAATTGCACAGTCTGTTTTATTACTTTGTTATTTCAGAAAATAAGAGATTTTTTCAAATCAGTTAACTTTTAGAAAATGTTTTACAACTTGTTTTTGTTGATTTTCTGATTTGACAGTTAAGATTGTTCGAGTATTATATCATTAGACCATGTAAGTCATGTTATGAATCTGTTACCAACAGTTGCTAGGTTTTATGACGTCACTTTAGGGCAGACATTATTTTCTAAAATGTCTATAAAGCAAATACGTCTTTTGGTATAAAGTATTTGGATTTTTTTCCAATTTTTAGTACCGTATGAGTAAAAAAAACAGCGTTTAGTTGGCTGGGAAATGATGATCGATGGCATTCCCAGTATAATTTTACTTATAAAACGACAGTGACAGTGATCTTCATTTCATAGCCATTGCTGACGCCGTTTTTTTCGATTATATTGTATTATACCCTTGTATTTATATTAACATTACATTTAGAATAAAAATCTGCAAAAAAAGTCACAAACAATTTAGTAAAATATTCAATGCCAGATGTTTTCTTGTCATATAAATGAAATAATATAGTAGAATGTGTTTTTTACTAGAACAAGTGGTTATTAACATTGCTTGTATTCATAAAATAGTCAAATTTTGATAAATAAAAATATTTTTAAAACTATGTTTCTCTCAGTCAATTTAATCTGTTTCATAAAAATGATCTAACACAGGATTACGTCTGTATAATTGGTTGCATAACTTAACCTACCTGTATGGCGCTCAAAAGAAATGTTTCAAAATTTACATATGGATTTAAAAACTTTTGATATTAATTTGATAATAAACAAAAACTTGCTATTACTTGTAACAATTTAAATTACAGTATTAATGATTTTTGATCATTTTATAATTTAAATAGATAGCAACTTTAATAAAATTATTAATATTATATTATAAAATCTTATTTCTACATTTTGGTTTGAACTAACAATAATTAAAGCATTTTTGTGTTTCAATTCTATCTTGGAAAAATATTTTGTATTATAGTCAGGATTTATTTTAAAGTTTGACTTATACGCTGCAATTTATATTTTAAAAACCTAGGTATTCGCCATAAAATTAATAACATTATTACAAGTTACAAATTCAAAAACAAATAAAGAAGGCAAGTAAAAATTAAAAAACGGAATACTACATTAAGAAGAACTGATTTTTAAATCCAAAAAATTAAAAGAATGCCGGTGAAAGTTTAAAAAAAATGAAAATAAAAAATATTGAACGGGAGACTTGTATATCTGGTTGCATAAGATAACGCATAAAACTAGCGCGGGCGCCAAATAGTTTTATTTTAAATATCTGTGGTTTAAAACAAAATTTTTTTCTTTATTTGTTTCTTAAAAAAAATGACGTAAATAGCAAATTAATTTAAACAAATCAATAAAAAAAAATTATACATTTATAAGCTAAAATAAAAGCTTTTATGCTTTTAAATGTCCTTTTTTCCGAAAAATAATTAGCATAACGAGTCTCAATTCCATAAATAAATAAAGAATGCCGTCCAGAGATTAAAGAAAAAAGATATAAAGGAATTTTGAAGATGGGTCGAACTAACTAAGTAATCGAAAGGAATAAAAAAAGAGTAACACGTTCGTTAACAAATCCGAGATGGTGGCCCACCCAAACTGCTGCGAATTGCCAGCACCGCATTTTTGCAGACTGCTCCTCATGGTCGACTGCAAAGTGAAGGGAAAATCAAAGAACAAAGTTTATAAATGTATAGTGTACTTCGTGCAGGAATCTACAGTGAAACAGTCAGAGTGTGTGCAGGCAGGCAGCCGACATTTATAAAAAGTTTCCCAAAAAAGCAAGAAGTACAGAGAGTTATCATCATATATAAAGAAAAAAAATGAAGACTAAATTAATGTAAGTCAAATAATTTTTTTAAACGGTTAATTTTGATTAAAGTAATCTCGTATAAGTGCGACATACATGTATCATTTCACTTTTTCTTTCATTTCTTCGGTGAGTGCATAGTTTAAAACCTGTTCTCGAGCTGCCTTAAAACCGTGACTCGGTTTTCCTCACTGTCGGTACTATTTTTCACCAATCGCTATTGTAGAGGTACGGCTTTACGAATATCACGGGTTGGGACTTAAATGTCAGAGATGCTATCTTGCCTAATTTAGTTATGCTGATCCTTTGAAAAGTAAATACATAATTTGTATGGTGTCGCAATATGAGCATTTCTTTTAAAATTACGTTAATTTAAAAGTTCGAAGAACGTTTTTCTAAAGTTTGAGTTTGGATGAAATGCTTATTTATGATTTTAGGGATTTTGGTACGATTTGTGATTAATTTCTTCAGTCTAAACACTCTGATATCATCAATATCATCATCATTTTCAGCTTATTCAACCATTTCTAAATATGCCTTCCTCACATACCTACTTTCTTTGTAGTTGAGCCTATTGTTGTCTATGGTTGGCTAAGCTGGCCCAAGTTATCCCTGCATTTGCTAATATCATGGTCCCATCTCAAGTTCGGTCTTCTTCTAGGTCTCTTAATTCCTCGCGGGTACCATTTTGTAATTTTTATGGTCCATCTGTTGTCCGTCCTTCTTGCCAGGGATCCTGTCCATTGCCATTTGAGGGATTTGACTCTGTGGATGACCTGATCTATTACCTGGGTCTTTTGTCGTATCCACTCCATTCTTTTACGGTCTTTCTTGGTTATTTCCAGCATATTTCCATTGAGCGTTGTGCGACCTGCAACATTGATGTAAATAGAAATCTATACTAATATGTATATAAAATCCTTAAGTGACTGACATACTGATTAATCACGATCCTGCTCAAACCACTCAACGTAAGAAGCTCAATTTTGGCATACAGGTTGATTCTAGGATGTAGAGGTTCGATAAGAAGGGGTTTGGGTTTGATTAGTCTTTCGGGAAAACCCTTGGACAAGCATCATTTATTTGTTTTTTTTACATATTTTGAAATTCTTTAAAAAATCATTCTGCTTAAACTGCTTGACGTAAAAAGCTTATTTTTGGCAAATGGATTTTTCGAAAGTCAAATTCCATCGAGAACGGAAATTGCGGAACGTTTTCGATGGGCCACCCTGTATAATATACGATGATCGTAAACCGGCAAGCTGGTTATAGGCTATGGTTATGATTTTGATTCACAATAAATATACATAAAATGTATACCACAACCACATCCTTTTTTAACTAACATAATTATGTAATAATGAATATTTTAAATTACTACGTAAACATTACGTAAATATTCAGATCACCAGCTGTTTTTTTGGTAATTCCAGTGTATTTGTTTTAGTACTAATCAATATTATATTCACTCTATATATCTATACTCTTTTTAAATTCTTCAAAATAATGATTGTATTGAACTGATAAATTACCTACTAGTCGGACACGTTGTATGAATGACATTAACATTTAGAATCATTATTAGTTGTCAGGCAATGTAAGAAAGAAATAATAACGCATCTAAAGAGCCTGGTGGTGGGTACGTATAAATACGATTTCACATTTTGTTACGCAAATACTTTACATATAGCGATAAACAACCTGCAGCATTTTTATTCTTCGGTTCAAGGAGCAAAATAACTTGTCTTTCTTTTTTTGTTATTTATTATTATTTATTAGTAATTATATATCTATTGGCTTATTGTCTTTAATTTACTTAGTTTTGCTCTAACTACAAGTTTAGTAGTTTTAGTACACAGTGAATAATTAAAAGACGTGATAAGAAAACCCACGAACAAGTCAATTAGTAGTTTTAGTTGCGCGTTTTTAGTGAAACTTCTTGGCGCGCGCTGTGAGTAAAAATTCAAGGCCGTAAGTAAGAAACTACTACGTTATATTTTGGTGCTATATGAGGAATATTTAAATACTTTTTTTCAGTGTGTTTCCGTATTTTGTTTCACAATTCCAACAATCAGATTCAAGTTACTTACAATAGTATATTGTTTAAACAATTAAAATTCAAATAGTGTTTTATAACGAAGAGTTTGTGCAATTTATATATTCTGAAAGTATTTCTAATGTTACTAGGAATCCTTTTGTCTACCGGGAGCTATCAATTTACTAACAGAAAATATTCCTCTTTTATGTGCTTCTTCGAAATACCACAATCAAAAGACGAGATATATTTTTTCTCGAATTTTTGAACTACACTATTTAAAAATAATTTTTACCCAACATAAAAATAAATTACAACCTTCTTAAGGCCAACTGGCAGTAATCGCCATTAACAATTAAAGAAGAGTAAATAAATGACGTCTAGGGCTTGACCTCGCCAAAATTATCACCGACTGTCATTCCCCAGCCGTCTTTGACGCCGTTTTTTTTTCCTCGATTGTATGGTATTATGATAGCATTAATCTTGATAATAAACGCAAAAGGTTCTTTCAAGGCTTTTATGTCGTATTTATAGCTATCACAAAAACTATTTAAGATCCATCTTTAGTTAAAGAGGTGTGACAAAAAACACTTTCGAAGGTGTTCTTGAAATGTAACCAAAGAAGCCAGCTAAAACTGTTCCTGAACCTTGAAAGAATCTTTCTCGTGGGTTACAGGCGTTGAAAGTTGCTGTTTTGTATTAAATTCTAAGTAGAATTGTTGGTTTTGGTTCGATTGTTGATATATTAACGGTATTTTCATTTATGAACCATTGTTCTAAGCATTGCACGACTGTATTCATCTTTATTTTGTAATAGTAATATTGTTTTAAATAAGTAACGGTTGTTGTGAAGGGTGGATGTATATGAAGTAAGTCATAATTCATTACAATACCGGGTGTTTCTCAAAAGTGGCCCATCCCTACAACTTTTTATATTTTTTCAGATAAAAAAACGAGATTTGGTACGTTAGTATACGACATAAATCAGGATTGATTCACGTTCAATTGTTTTTGGTCACTTCCTGTTTCACCGGAAATGACTACAACTTTTGACGTTTAAATGACATCCTCTGTATTTTTTTTACTTTATTCGATAGAAAATGACACTCTGAATAGAATGACATATCATATGTCAACTTTTGACATTTTGGCATATAGTTTATTTGAAACTGTAACATGCGGTTGTAGTGGTGTAAAATACTCATCTGTGCTTTGTTTATACAGGGTGTCCCAGAAATAAGTGCAAGTATTTTAAGGAGTGGTAGATCTCGATAAAAGAAACATATTTTCTCTTTATCATTTTTCAAATAAGAACAAAATAACGGAGTTATTTTACTTTGGAAATTACCAAAAAAAAAATGAATTTTTGCTAAAATTTTGAGAACCACTGGTTCTTTTCTGGACTCTCTACTACATATGTTGCCATATTATCAAGAAATTATTTTTTTTAAATAAAAACAAATAATTTCAAAAAAATTCTCAAAAAATTTCGAATATTCAAATTTTTTTTTTCGCGAAAAAAAAACATCATGGTCATGTTTCTGGAGTTGAACTATACTACCAGTTGAAATACTTGCACTTATTTCTGGGACATCCTGTATTATACACAACGTGACATTGCAACAGGCACTAAAGTATACTGATTGTATGTGTATCACGATAATAATGAAATAAAAAGTTTAAGAAAAAAAATCACCCATTAATTTCAATACAATCGAAACAGTGAAATATGGTTTGAAAAATGAAATATTTTGATGACGAAAAAAGCCCAAATAAATTGAGAAAAATCGGTTTATGTCATGTTTATGTACATAAACATGTAGAAAGTCCGATCCAGATCGTATTGAAGAAAAATTCAATTACGTTTCGAGGCTTAAAAACGGATTACCTACTCAAGGATGGCGTAACGGTGTTCCGGTTGTCCAAGTTCGCGCGCGTAATCTACGCCGCCGAAAAAGAAATTTAAATAAATATAATTAACGCTTTGAACGACAATCACCTTGCTTTTTTAAATGTCGCACACACGTGACACATTTCTACATGAAATGTCCCATTTTTAAGGTTATTTGTGTTATTTGTATTAAGACACTTTATCCTACTTATAAGAGATTCAATCAAACATTTTCAAGAATATTTCTTTCCTCGATTTTAAGAGGTCTATTGTGTTTGTATCCTCTTTATGACTGCTCCCAGTCTCCTATCCCTGTACCCTATACCAACTTCGGCAGGTTTTATCCTTGTTATCCCAAATAGAAGGTGTTTCTTGCGATCCAAAGCACAAAACATCCCCCTTTAGAATTTTAACTTCTATGTTATGAAATGAAAGTAATAGAAGCGCCCCCTTGAGTTTGTTCGCGCACTAAATTCATGAAATATCGATCCCTATATTTATTTTAATTTTTTTGAATATTGCACAAACAATTTTTTTAATTGTAACGAAATAAATATATTAAAAATGAACAATAAAAAATTGTAATTTATATGTAACATATATAATTTAATTTTAATATACCTATTTTGTCACAATTTTATATCAATACCCGATCGAACGTTTATAAAAATAAAGCAATTATTGATGTTATTATAAATTATGTATTTTACATACCTATAAACTGAAAAAAAATGTACATAACAATCGAATCTTTCCGGGGATTTGGAAAATGAAAAATACCGCCATTTTTGTTGTCGCAATTAGGAACGCTACAGTTCTTCGCAGGTTTGCGTTCTCGGTCGAAAAAAGCGATTGAAATTAAATATGAATAATTAAAATAAAATGCACTTGGTAAAATAAGTACAAATACACCAATAATTAATGAGGAAATTGCCAAAATCACACACCGAATATTCACAAAACACAACGAAATAAACAAACACAAACGAAACCAAACAAATTATTATTTGTTAATTTTTTGACTAGCAGCGCTTCTAGTGTTTGTTCACACAGTATAGCTTTTACTTCCAGTCATTGCCATTACAGAAAATGTTCTACAGGGGGATGTTTTGTGATCCAGAGTCTCGTAGTGATATATTATGTGCTTTGCTGTTTCAGGATCTTTATCGCAGAGTCTGCAGCAAAGACTTCCTTGATACAGCAGGGTGAGCTTGTTCGATAGTTCTGGACAGCCATATTATATTCTGTTAAGGAACCTGTTGTAATGTAAAAATAAATAAAAAAGAAAAAAAAAACAATTTAAAACATTTAATCGAACTAAAAAAACGGAAAATATGAAAGTGTTTATTAGATTTTTTGCAATTCTGCAAATATTTCCCAAAGAAAGTAATAAACAATAAATATTTATATATACACCAACATAAAAAAATTCTACACCTATGTCGTAGTAAATATTTATGAGAAACCGTATTAATTTCAAGGATAGTGAAGTCAGTAAATCATTTTCTACGTTTTTGCAGGGTTATTTTTGGACTGCTGGCCGTTGTAGCTCTGTGCACAGCTCGACCTGCCGAAGAGGAGTACGAGTATGAAGAAGAACCTGCACCACCACCAAAAAAAGTACCTGCAAGAGGCCCGTTAGTCGGTAGGAGGAATCCTTTAGCTGGGAAGAATAACAAGGCTGCTAGTTCTACTACTACAACCACAGCTGCTCCACAGGTAGGGTTTTTAGTGTTAAATTAATTTTGTTTTAAATTTTTATATAAATACTCTATATAAAAATGGGATCCTTTAAAATTTTCCGACCAACTTTTGACGAAAGGATCGTTCTCTGATGATTCATCCAGAGTGAAAAGTGTTACCATCCTGGGCTTTCTTTTTTAGTTCAGTATAAAATTTCCAGTGAAATCACTTTCTTAGGTTTTTGGTTTGGTTATTTCATTCAATAAGATTAATTCACTAAGAGTGATTCATTTTGGATGTGCATCAAAAATGATAGAGTGTAAATTCCACTTTAGCCACCGAAGAACCCAATTTAGAAAAGAAGGTAGCATTGAAATTCAGTGGTGGATCTCCTATAAATAAATAAATAAATAAATAACGCTTTATTGAATAAAAAGCCAAAATAGCTTCATCGACAAAGCATTTACAAAACAAACAAAAGCACAAAAATATACAAATAATAAAAAAAATAACATACAATACAAATCATACAATTTAAAAAAAAATTACGTCATTAAAATTACAAATAGAACATACATGAACATTGCAGAACACAAAAAAGCGTATCAATAAAATTTTAGAATAGGAAAATTGTAAATGGATATAATTATTTAAGAGTTTCGTAATCATTTAATAAAATATTAAATACTAGACCTTTCGCCAGTGTGAGAAATGATCAAAATTTTAAAATTCAAAATTGTTCATGATTAAACATCAACAAAAAAGTCGTTTACCGCATATAGGGCTCTCTCCAGTAAGTATGATTTCAGAGTTTTGCGAAATGCGGGAAAGAATGAAAGAGACTTGATATTCAAAGGCAGATGATTGTACATTTTTTTGGCATTGTACAGTATTGAGCCTTTAAGCCTGAGCTCGGGGTGGGCAGATAAAGATCGTGCTCCGCATTCCCAAGTGGATAGTTGTGAGATGGCCTTTCGGGAATAGCAGATATGTGCTTGCGGATTAAGCAAACGGGTTCAAAAATGAATAAAGAAGAAAGAATCAGTATTTTGAAATTTTTAACGAAATTCATAGCAGTGAGTTCTAGTGTTTAGTCCCAATAAATATCAAACTGCTCTCTTTTGAAGTTTGAAAATACGATCAAATTTTGTTGCGCAGCAAGTACCCCAGAATGGAAGGGCATAACGAAGATGTGACTCAAAAAGGGCATGATAGGCTATTCTAAAGGTTTATAAGTTAAGTTCCTTAGAAACTGATCATAGCGCAAAACAGGCAGCGCTTAGTTTCTTTGATAAAGGTTCGATGTGCAAGTCCCATTTTAACGAGTTTTCTACAACAAGTCCTAAGACGCCAATAGTGGTGTTATTAAGTACAAAAGGTTGTATAGTATTTTTATATGACAAAACTTTAGTTATAAAACGGTGACAGTTGCAGTTATTATATGTCAATAGACTCTCTGATTGACAACAGTACAGCGTCTTTTTGCTTACTGTACCAATAAGATTTATTACTTATTAATAAATGGTAGATGTGGTAGATTTGGGAAATGTTCTATGTTTTTTTAATAAAAAGAAGTTAAATGTATGTTGACTTTTTTTAGGAAGAAGAGCCAGTTGCTGAAGGCGATTACGAAGAAGAGCCCCAACCAGTCGAAACCAGTTCAACGACTGAAGCCGCAAAGAAATTCATTAAGGGTGGCATTGTAAGACCTTTCAGAAGTAACGACGATTTGTTAGCCACTTTGAAAAGAAGAAGAGAACAAGTTGTTCGTAAGTATCTGATTAATGAAACAATCAAACCGAGTTCGTAAGCATTGTGTTAAGCATTTCCTATATCTGAAGTCAATTAAGTTGATTATTGTTTTTATAAAATACACACACATCGGCACAATTAGCGAAACAGTTAATTTTCAGTGTGGGTAAAACGACAGTTTTGTTATAAAACTGAATAATCTTCTCAGTTTTCTAGACCAGAGACTAGTAGAATCTTCTGTCTTAACCTAGTTCAAATAAAATTGATCTTTTTTCGCCTACACACAAGTCAAGGTTTTTCTTAATACGTTTCGACTGCATTTTTAACTGAAAGTTTTACTTGACTGACAGGTAAAATCTTATGCCGGGTCCAGACCAAGGCGACTAAATGTCAGTCATTGCGACAAAAATGTGAAATTCAGACAAAACAAATTTGAGACAAAGTGTCTATACCGCGTGGACAAAAGTACAACAAAGTTCAGTATATAAGAATCAGTTTTATTAATAATGTAGCCTTTCTATCAGAAAGAAGATAAAAATATATTATTAGCAGCCAGTAGTGTTGTTTTTGACTCGCCATCCCATGTTGTAAAAAGAAACCCCAAATAATGTTTTTGTTTTTATTTCTCTCGTATACCATATATATATATATATATATATGTTCCCGTCATCCCTTCGTGGGACGTAGGGCTTCTAAGGGATGTTTCCATCTGATCCTATTCTGAGCTGTCTGTATGATCTCTCCCCATATTTTCCCGACCTCTTGGGCTTCAGAGGTTACTGTCCTTCTCCAGGTATTCCTTGGTCTTCCCCTGGCACGTCTTCCCTGTGGATTCCATTCAAGTGCCTGTCTAGCGATATCTCTGTGGGGTCTGCGCAAAATGTGCCCAATCCAGCCCCACTTTCTTTTCTTAATTTCGATATCTATTCGATGTTGTGATGTTCTTCTCCACAGTTCTTCGTTGTTAATTTGATTGGGCCAGAAAATTCTCAATATTCTTCGAAGACACTTGTTAACAAACACCTGTAGGCGATCCATGAGACCACGCGTAACCTTCCATGTCTCGCATCCATAAAGCAAAATAGATTTGACATTGCTATTGAAGAGCTGGACTTTAGTTTTTTTGCTATATATAGAGGAGTTCCACACAGGTGTAAGCATGCCAAAAGCTCTTTGTGCCTTCAAAATCCTTTCCTCTATATCTTTCTCTGTGCCCCCATCGCTGTGAACCATACTTCCCAGGTACTGAAATTCATCAACTCTTTCGATGGCTCGATTGGAGAGGTATAGATCTTGGTTGTTGGGAGTATTTGACCTCATTTCTTTGGTTTTCGCCACGTTGATTTGAAGACCGACATTATTAGCTTCCTCTTGGAGTCAAAGAAGTTTTTGAGACATATCCGAATGTGAATGGGAAAAGATGCATAGATCGTCTGCGTAATCCAGGTCTTCTAGCCTGCTTAAGAGTCCCCATTGTATCCCTAGTGGTTCTTTAAATGCTCTATTTAGTGCTACATCCAGAACGATGTTAAAGAGTAGCGGCGAAAGTATACAGTCCTGTTTTACACCTACAGCAATAGAAATTTTCTCCCCCACTTAACCTTTATGTAATACACAGCTTGTAGCATCATGATAAAGCATTTTAATCATGCGGATTATTTTTCGGGTATTCCTTTTTTCTCTCAAAGCTTTCCAGATGGCTATGTGTTTTATAGTATCGAATACTCTTTGAAAATCCACGAACACCATGTATAATGGCGATCTGAACTCTTGAGATTGCTCTATATGAGAGTATTAATTTGGTCGATACATGATCTTTGAGGCATAAAGCCTGCTTGTTCTTTTCTCAAAGTCGGTTTAAGGGCATCTGATATTCTTTTTTGGATGACTGTAGCAATTATCTTGTTAATGGTGTTAAGTAAGGTAATGCCTCGCCAGTTCTTACACTGGGATAAGTCGCCCTTCCTGGGGAGTTTTACAATAAGTCCTTCTTTCCACGTTGACGGGATATGTTCTGTTTCCCAACTGCTTTTATTATTGTCTCTAGTAGATGTGCAATGTTTTCTGGGTGTATCTTAAATATTTCAGCGGGTATATTATCAGGACCTGCCGCTTTGCCAGTTTTAAGCTGTGATAATACTTGCTTAATTTCTTGAATCGATGGAGAACGTGTTGCGATTCTAGATTTGCAGTTCTCTGTTGGAGACGTTGGTACCTCGTATACCATATAGCTATTAATATTTCTTATTTTCTTCTTAACATCAACCGAGTTTACATTTAGTGCTAATACAAATCTCCTCTAATGCACCAGCCTTTCTTGTAACAATTTTTGTAGTCCTTGTTTTTACCCTCCCATAATAATAAATGCGCTTTATAAGTTTGCAGGCATTTTCCGTGTTCCACTTTCTCTCTTCTGGCATTTTTTTATCAAAATGGAGCACTCCACGATATACTAATGTCATATATTAGCAGTACCAGCACTCCACAGTACTAAATTTGTGTGATTCCATTAGTTTCCTACTTTTGGCAATGCACGACATCCACACTGCACCGACAACTTGTAAAATACCGTGCTGGCAACTGTTACTTTTGGGTTGGCATTTACATGTGTGGAAGTAAATTGCATAGGGATCTTATTAAGTCGGAGTGAGAGAAATGCGACCTTTTAACACATAACAGGCCATAACTCAAGAACCACTTTAGATATTGAAACCTTTTTTATTTTCAAGATCGGATATTTTACAATATGTTTACATAAGAAAAATTCGATAAGGTTGTTTTTTCCATTCAAAAATTGTAAAAAATCCATCCATTTACTTTTTAGAGCATAGCAATTTTCAGCAGTCCTGTAATTTTTTATTGATAAAGATTTTCACATAATGTCTACAAAGAAAATACAGCAGAAATGTTAAAAAGTTTTTGAAAAACTACAATCTATTATTTCTAATAGATTTCGAGATATCGATTTTTGAATTCAGAGTTCTAATAGCGCGACCACTATCGAACACCCACTCAATTCCACTTATTTTTACCAAAAATGCACGTGTTTCTAGCTTGCACTTAAAAAAAAAAATTCAAGCTATAGGGAAAATTACAACGACTCGTTAATAAATAAACAAATCAAGTATCACGAGACGTAATTAAATCGTGAAGCTGAACGCATGACGTACACCTTTCCCTAGAACTTTAAGTACTGACAGAGGTATTGATTGGGTCGACCGGTCAACTGCGACAAATCTGCTATATACCCTTCCACGTGCACAGTTTCTGGTTTATTTCATACGTTTGGCAACGTGTTTACTGTCCTCTCTTTGTCCAGTACATTATAAACGCATTGTACTCTTCTTACATACGGAAATCTCGACCCAAGACTAACCTTTGCCAGTCCTTAGTATACGACAAAATAGCCGACTCGAGACGGGGCATTCAAAACTCTCCGAATTCGGAAACAAAACAAAAATGAGACAAAAATGTCGTAGAAATGTATTGAATTTGTCGCTATAGTCTGTGAAACGAATAACTTTGAATTTGACAGTTCCCGCGGGCTTTTCTAGTGTTAATTTTATTAGGTCAGCAACTTGCCGCCATGCTGACGCAATGCCGTCTCTAATAGAACAGCCACGAGCGAGATTTTTGACGTCACACTAGTTAGATACTACGGATTAATAAATATGTTTTAGAATACATGGAAAACATAATTATTCATCGTATTTTTGGTTTGTTTTTTAAAAATGATATAGTTTACATGAAATATACATAATATACAGTTAATAAATACAATATATATATACCTATTTATAATAATGAATAGGTATGCCTACAAATAATGAATAGGTACATAAGATAAGGGGTAAAATGTAAAATATATTTAAAATTTTGGGGTTTGAAAATCGATCTAATTTAACAAAAAACATTCAATATCTACAAATAGTGATGTATTATTATTTGCATTCACAAAATTTATCCTAAGAAAATAAAAAAATTTTGAACAATTTTACATATAAAATAACAGCGATCTTTATTTCATGGCCATCACTGACGTCTTTTTTTCTATGATATTGTATTATTTGCAAATATAATTTTTCGAACATTGATACTTGCAAAATATACATATAAATTTTGTGAATGCAAATAATAATACATCACTATTAGTAGATATTGAATGTTTTTTGGTAGATTAGATCGACAACCCCAAAATTTTAAATATATTTTACATTTTACATTATTTTTTTTATTAATATATTTTTCATTATTTGTATATTGTAAAACATTTGCTGCATTTGTGTGGTTCATAGTTTATTTGCCAAAGTATTTATTACTATAAATAGGTATATATATATATTGTATTTATTAACTGTATATTACGTATATTTCATGTAAACTATATCATTTTAAAAATGCAAACCAAAAATACGAGAAATAATTATGTTTTCCATGTATTCTACAACATATTTATTAATCCGTAGTATCTAACTAGCGTGACGTCATAAATCTCGCTCCGATGCTGTTCTATTAGAAACGGCATTGGTTTGATATTTAGAAATGTCAAAAGTTGATGACATTTTACCTTTAGAATTATGACATTTTGTGTTGATTTCTGCAAGAAGAGGAAGAACTGTCACTTGTTTTATTCTTTTCCTTTTCTATTTCACGAAAGTAAAAAGAGTTACCTATCTGATTCGTTCAGGCACTCAATTTAAAGAATATCAGTAACTTTTTTGATAGAGGGATTTTATATTTGCCATGTTGGTAAAAAATAACGGTCAAAATTCAAAGTTATTCATTTTTAGACTATACTTTGTCGTAAAACATGAATGTTTCTGTCTTGACGCTGTTTTGTCTGATTGGTCTGACCCGGTTTTATATCTAGAATCTAGACAGGGCTTAAAAGATATCAATTTACTACTTTTTGTCTCCAATAACATTGAAGGTCTTTTTCCTAACCTACATTTTTGTCACCTTAGACAAACCACAAAAAGCCAGTAGCGTCAACAGACACCAAGGAGGAAGTGGCAGCGGAACCGGCACAAAGGAAACCAAACCTGCCGCTTCGTCGTCATCAGGAAGAAGGAACCGCTTCAGCAAGTCCAAGGCTAGCAACGAGGTACCGGCGGAAGAACCCAGCACAGCTGCATCGGCAGGCAGGACAGCAAGGGGCAGGTTCAATGGCAGAAGATAGAATAGAATAGAACAATGTAGAATTAATAAATAAGACCCCAAGAGAAGACATTTTTTATGTGCTCTGATGATTAACATAAAACATTAAAAGGTATTTATTTTGGATGTAAAAGACAGTATGTACCAATACGCATTGTGATAACTAAATAGATGTTTTTATACGCCATGTTTTATACATAATTATTTTTAGATAATTTAGAAAATATTGTTGTCTCTTAACCCTAAAATCAATAGAAACTGGTCTTTTTCTAAGTGTACAAATTATGAAATAAAGGAAATAAATTTAAAGCAAATAATTTTTTTTTTGCTAATTTTGTGTTTCTGCAAATATCATCATCATTTTCAGATTAATCAACCATTTCCAATTATGGGTATACTCTGTTTTTTTTTCTCAGGTAAGATTTCGACAGACGATGACAGAAGAAAAGCAGATGACGTCCCATACCAATCTATTTATTTTACTAAAAAAAGTTTCTAATAATTTTTAAGTTAACTATGGATGGGTTTAAATATAAATTCGTCATGCGTCGTCACTTGTTGTTTTTAACCAGTTTTATTGGTTTATTTCAAAAATGACAGATCGTATTTCAATTTTATTGGTTTGACGGAACGATGAACGACAAACGGACGCCGATGCGTATGAACTCGCCTTTAGATTTTTGACGTTTGTCAAAGTCTTGCCAAATTATAGGTTATAATTTTGTGACAACTTTTGTCAAATACCCTGCGTTTTGGAAGATGATGCATTTTGATTCGTGTTATTACGTGTGTTTTGTGTCTTTTGAAGTCAAGTGGAGGAAAAATCGAGTGAAAATTAACTGTAGAACCCAGAGCACAGTTTATGGTTAATACTCGCTGCCCAGGCAGAAAGTCTTATATAGATACACCAATAAAGTTACTATCAATAAAGTTCGTATACCATCTCGTCGTAGATAAGTGCATCTCGAATATGGTAGAAGGACCATACTAAACACATACTAAAAACTGGGGTAGGTAGCTGTAAAATATCGACATCACACGATAGGTAAATAATGGATTTTAGTACTGCAGAAAAATAATGTCAAAAGGTACTGATTTAAAAAAGTTAAGATTAAAGTTCAACCTGTGAGGCATAAAATTTGGTAAGTGTTATTATTAATAAAATAGTTTGTTTTATTTATGTTGTTTTATTTATTCCTGCGGAATATTACAAATTTGTATTTGTACATAAGTTATATTGATAAATATAATCATAGATGCGGGAAGTTTCATAAAGCTTGAAAGTAAGAAATGGTTCTTTTTTATATTTTTTGGTGTCTTGTTTTTGTTTACTTTGTCGGAAAACACTATTTGTAATGAATTAAAACAATAATTATATGAACAAATAAGTAATTTCTTGTCATCATATAAACGTAAAAAAATCAAGACTGCAAGAGCTTGCCGTTGATCTTGGTCTCGCAGATCAAACACTAGTCTTGGTCTTGGTTTAGCATTTTGTGCAAAAGTCCGCAGATGTGTAGTCCTGCTCATCAATAACAAAAAGGCATCGAAATAGTCATCTTATCCGATAATTTTATATCTCCGAAACTAAAGTTTCAAAAAAAGCCAAACCATATCTACAAATTCATTTACCCAGTAGTAGGTATGTAGATCTCTGTAATGGACCCTGAGCAGCTTTAAAAGTGATCAACTCAGTAACCATCAATTCGAAGTTGGTCAAAGAATACCTAGGGAAGCTGAACAAATTAGGCAAAGAAAATAAAGTCCTCTTACTCTGGGTGCTATCCCACAAGATAGAAGGGAAAAAAGCAAATGATCTTCCTAGAAATTTAGAAATGGAGCAAACGCTCTTCTAACTGAACTAGAACCGTTGTGCTTTCCAAGTAGAAAACAACTTTACTTGCGTGCAACACTCCTGCAACACTCTGAGACACTCGAAGAAGGTTCTGAGAACAAGTAAGAACAATCTTTGGATTGTCAACAGGACACTGTCCCCAACTATCCCCTCAATGAACACCACAGTAGACTGAAGCTTAGAAAAAACGGCGAATGTAGATTCTGTGGGGAAAATGGGGAAACACTAGAACACCTTATCTCTGAGTGCGTCAAGATGACAATCATTCGTGCCATAAACTTTGGTACGACTGATATCGGAGGTGGAGAACTAACCTCTATAAAACCGTCTCAGATACTGGCTTTTGTCAAAGCCCTGAAACTGTATGACGAGTTATAACTGAAGGAAGAGGGACACAATAGATCTATAAAGTCGCGTGATTATCTCTACCCTCCCGTACAACCTACAATCTTCAACAATGCATTTATGTCTTTAGATTTGGATATTATACGAAAACCATCAGAAGTAATATTGTACTAAGATACTTATTGTATAAAACAAAGGTACCCAGTACCCAAGAAAATAGGTAAACAAAAAAATTCTGGATTGCAACATATTTAGAAAAAAAAATTAAGGTATTTCTGGTTGTCTGCTTACTCTTTGCATTTAATAGATAATTAAATAATTTGAATATTGTCTGGCGCTGAAAAGAAGCGAGTACGCCACTGGGTAGCGGCGCCCAGCGTCGGCTCCCGAGGGTCGGCCGTCCGAAAGTGAAGGGGCGTCGGTATGCAAATAATGGAAAGCGGTAAGTTAAAGTCGACGCCGATATTTGGTTATATTCTGCCTTTGGCTATAAATATCGTATTTGTAGTCGTTTATATTCTATTTTAAGATTTACGCTTTAATTGTAACCACTTTTTAGTCAAAAATTACTTACTTACTTAGGAAAATTATAAATTAAGAATTATAAAACAATTATAAGGAAACTGCAGGTTGCACAACGCTCAATGGAACGAAATAGGCTGGGAATAACCAAGAGAAACCCTAAAAGAATAGAGTGGATACGATAAAAGACCCAGATAATAGATGTCATCCACAGAAGACACCTGGCAAGAAAGACGGACACCAAATGGACCACAAAAATTACAGCATGGTACCCACAAGGAATTGAGAGGCCTAGGTGAAGGTCAAACTTGAGATGAGACCATGATATTAGGAAATTTGCAGGGGTAACTTGGGCCAGCATAGCCAAGCATTAGCTACTATCTAATCTTGTCAGTGGCTAGAACTGATTATTATGCACTTTTTGAGTCGCACCTCAGATATGCCCTTCCATTCTGGGGTACGTGTTGTGCAACTCAATTTGACCGCACTTTAAAGCTCCAGAAGAGAGCTGTTCGATGTTCACTGGGACTAAACAGCAGAACTCATTGCCGGGACTTTTTTTAAAAATTAAAAATATTAACTCTTCCTTCCTTATTTATAGTTGAATCCGTTTGCCTATAATACGTAAGCATGTATCAGCTTCTCAAGAAAGGCCATCTCACACTTATCCACTCAGGAACGCGGAGTAAGATCTTTATCTACCTACCCTTCGCTCAGAGTTAGTTAAAAGTTCAATGTTATACAACTCGAAAAAAATGCGCAATCACCTGCTATTTGAAATCAAATCCATAACATAATTTTCTTCATTTCGCAAAGCATTGAAATCTTATTTACTTGACAAGGCTTTCTACGCCGTAAATGACTTATATTTTGATAATCGAATTTGATCTTGAAAACACTGAAAACTTACTAAATATTTTTGAATCTTATTTTTATTTTTTTTTATTCTTTGGCATTGTAAACATTTATAAGTGTTTATTTTAAACAATAAGACTCTCGACAATGTAATTTGTATATTTGTTTTGTATTCTGTTTTGTTTGTTTACTTTACCTTTGTCTACAAGATGATACACTCGATTGTGAGATGAAATTGGGCATAGTTACATAAACTCTCACTAAAAATGGATTTTGATCAAATTCCATCCAAAATATTAGCGATGAAAAAAAGTATGTAACATTGCAGAAAATATATTATCCATATATTATAAAGAAATATATTGTTCCAATTGTTTGTTCACAACAGAGTGAGCATGTAATCAGCCACTTTTTTGTATAAAAACATACATAAAAGTTCACGTTTGATTGATTTTTCTGTTATTAATGTAAAGGAGCGGTTCCACTCATACGATGCGTCAAATAAATGTGCAAATTCGAAGATGTTTCTCTTGCTCAACCTCAGCATAGAATTAGTTGTTAAATCGGGACGAAACCTTGGTCTTTTGGAGAGTTCTTGAATTAAATGTCCTACATACTAGGCCAAATACATTGTGACGCACTGTATTATTTACTACTTGGAGAACATTTTTGTACAGAAGGACTTTTGAAATCTTAAGATAAAACAATCTCGAAGAATAATAGTTTTTTTTATCGAAATATCAGAACAAAGACAATAATAATTGTTTGATTTAATAAATGTTAATGTGATTTAATAAATAAAATGAATATCAGAAGAAAATGTATAAGAATAAAAAACTTGGGAACTTTAAAAGTATGTACGAGAATTATGTATTTCAGGAAAATATTTTAACTTTTATAGGATGGCTTAAAAAAGTGTCAGTCGATTAGATCGATGATAGATGATTTTTTTAAATAAACACCTAATACATATTATTTTTTCAATAGAAAGGGAATTAAAAAATTACCATTTTTGTATTTAAAGTATTTCAAAATTTTTAATAGTTTCGCAGATACAAGCATGATTATTTCATATGGCTCTTTCAACTGTAAAATGCGACAGAAAAATCACTGGGTGGCTTAGATAAAAATTTACTGTAGAAGATGCCATATGCAATATAAAACAGCGAATATCTGCAAAATCGTTAAATATTTTGGAATACTCTAAATACAAAAAATATTCATTTTTTAATTCTCCATCTATTGAAAAAATAATATACAGGGTGTTCCATTTAAGGAAACAAAGAAAAATTATTTTATATTATACTTAGAAAGCTTGGTGTGGAATTTTGAACTTCCTGTTTGATTTACCATCACCATATTTATAGCAAAGTAATTAAAGACCGTCTAAAGTAAATACCTAATATATTTTTGATTTGAGGACAGTTTTTGCATTTTTAATCATATCTTTAAGAAAGGCTGAAAAATATATTATATTATTTAT